ATGCATTTGTGACATTGATGACAGCCTCTTCTCAGCTGTTGATGATGGATTACCAGATAACTGTAACACACATGTAACAACAGGTTGCATTCCTCAACTTATAAATACAACTATTAACTGTGTGCATTTTCAACAGGCTTAAATCGGAGCTCACACATAAGCGTAATTTTAATATCTCTCATGCAAACTTTACAAATCTGATCATTGTGGCTGTTCTGGGTTGGAATGCACCTTTTGAGAATTCATTGTGGGCTTGAACTGCCTCAAATTTGATCTAATTATCACTTGACTGCTTCAATTAAGTAAACAAATGGCACTTCTAAAACAGTGCTCTTAGTTTTTATAACAAGTTCATTTATTCATAATATTGATACAAGTTAATGGCTTTATATCATAATATTGAGTAACTAAAGTATTAAATGGATGTACATTTGTGTATTTTGGCCAAACTGTTAATTTAAGAGAGATGTGTAGCAACAAAAAATATGTAAATTATAATGATAAAGTTTTAAAATGTGAAAACTCCTATATCAAAATTTTTGACATGTGTTTATGACTAGTAGAAACAAGAGCTTTAAACATCAACCTGAAATAATTTTAATAATGTGCTGCTATTTTTGTACCTGGCTTTAAAAAGTAACTTTGATGAAAAAATATTCCTCTAGTTAATACTGATGGATTCCCTTGTTCTTTCTGGTTATGTTGTTGGGCTTGTTTATGCATCATCATGTTACCGTGTGTGTGTGTGTGAGTGTGTGTGTGTGTGTGTGTGTGTGTGTGTGTGTGTGTGTGTATGTACACATGGTTTTATGTACTTTGAAACTTGTGAATATTTGTTCTTCCAATGTTATGCATTTATTTACAAGATTTTGTGTTGTGATGTTACCCACAAATTGTATGTGATAGGATGGTTATAGGTATCAAATTATGTAGTCTGGTAGGCACACCCTGTCTCAATTTCTGTACAACCACTGATAATATTGTATGAAAATTATTGTTTTATGATTTATCCATCTTCATCTCATTTAGTAGATTTGTACATTGTGCAATGTTCAATTATTTTTGTAAAACTTTGAGTCTCTTTTGTTCTATTCAAATATTTTTATTATGGTGTAATTTCTGCTGATTAAACTGCACTGTAGAGTAATTGAATTCTTTTTTTTCAATTTTTTAAAACACGAACTAAAATTCATTGGTATAATTTCATACAGGAATTGTTTTGTGCATTGTATTTTCAACTTCAAATGTTTATTATTTAGTGTTATTATTGAAATAAGGGATGCTGAGTGCACATAAATTGACTATTTTTAAATGTTTTACATATTCTTGTATGAAAACTCATATAATAATAATTTTTTCAGTCTAATTGTTCCTTTACTTTTAAAAGTGTGAGATAAGGTCTGATGAAAGTTCAAAAATTTAAGAGTTCATATTCAATTTCTAACTCAAATTTTTTTTCCACTTTTAATGATAAACCTGTTGTTAAACATATCTATATATAGTAACATGTTAAATAAAAAGTTTACAAGAATATTCTGTATAATATTCTGTCTAAATAAAATGATGCCTGTTTTTTTTTCATCCTGTATCATAGCTTGCAATTGTTGTCACATTTAATCACTTTTTTACTCTTTTTATCACATATGATAACTTTACAACACGTTTGAATTATTTTAAACATTTGTAACCATGAATTATTTTGAACATTACCAAACAGGGCACCCTTTGACAAGCCTCCACCCCTTCTAAGGTAATTTTTTTGTTGTTATTGTTCTTGTTGTGATTGCTGTTGACACTGTTGTTGCTGTTGTTTTTTGTGATTTTTGTTTTGGCTATTGTTATAATATAATTCATTTATTAAATTAACTTTTGTTGCTTGTTACATTTCATATTTCATTGCTTTATATTTCATTATAACGTCCTACCTCAGGGAGCTGGGTCTCTGGATGCTAAACGATGATTGATTGATTGATTTATATTCCATTGCTAAATTTCGTAATTTTTTTATTTGTTCATTGAACAATGAGTTGTATTCAAGACAGTTGTAAACCCATGTCATTCTTATAAGCAAATAAAATTTCCTTTTAATTGTAACCTTTTTGGTTTCTCATCTTCAACAAGCTGCTATTCTCATAAGTTTTGAAAATAATTGGCATTGAGATATTTTCTGATAACATTTTTTATTATTACTTGAAGGGATAGGTAAAATTTATTTAACTGAATTTTATATATCTTCTTCTCCCATTAATACTTTTAATCACTATATAAGTTACAAATGTCATGCAATCTGGAATGCACATTTGTTACGTTGTGTTAGAGTAGGTCTTGGTTATTCAGAGATGCTTTTTTAGTGTTTTATTTATGTACATAATTAAATTTTTGTTTAAATAATATCATATAAATAATCATTAGCAGCAGGAAAGAAACTGGTTGCTTTAATTTTTGGTTTTTTGTTTTTCTTTGCAATTATCAGTAGATAATTCCCAGCATACTAAAAAATAGCACCTGTTTCAGTCAAAACAAATCTTGGACATTATAAAATTATTCATAAAGTCTTGACTGCACACTACTCGTTTTAGAATTGCATATAACTTCTTTTTCATTATCTGTAGACTTTTTTTATGAGTTTGTCTTCTATTTTTAGTTGCCTAGTTTTATTTTTAGTAAACTCAAGGTTGTGCCAGTATTAGTGTTTGTTTATAAATAAACATGATCCAGTGCATACGTTTAATGATAGCTATAAAAATGTGCAAACCCCATTCATATAAATAAACCTTTTAGATATAAGTATCTTGATTGATGCAAAATTTTCCTTTATCAGCTTCATTAATTATAAATGTTCTACTAATGCCTTAAATAATAAATATAAATGTTAAGCTTGTATTGACAATGATGTCATAATATACATGTGAAACTCAGTGGTTGATCAGTACCTAGATGGTTTTTTTAATAATTGACTCTGGTAAATTAAATGGTTTTGGTTTTTGCTACCTGTAATCTTAATATGATTGATTAGTTCATGCTTTAATTTTTAAAATTTTTCACATAACTTTAATATTTGTAATTTGATTTAACAAAGAAGCCAACAAGACACAACAAAAACAATGAATAGATAAATTTAAATCTAGATGAAAATTTGAAATCCTTCATAAACAACCCAACGCATTAGGTCTAACTATATATCTTAATATGTATTTATCTATGTATATGTATGTTTTGTGCGTGTGTGTTTTTGCTCATTGTAACAGCACATTGTTTACAGTATTTGTATTGTCAGATATATTTTTATGTGTACACAATTAATGGATGCTTGTTTGTTCTAATTGTATTGTTTTAATTGGTATGCATGGTCTGTATGATGCATGCATTATGTGTGGGCCTCTGCATGCAGGTAGATTGGGCATATGTTATGAGTAGTAATCTCAAGTTTTTTCAGTAGCAGCTTAGTTGAAGTAGTGATACTTACTCACTGAAACGTTATTTGTTTTATTAGATCATATTTAAATATATTTACATGTCAAAACACACGTGAATATTGGAGGTGAGCTTGATTATAAGCACATGTTCTTTTGTGACTTGCAAACAAAGGCAGATGTACACTGATGATGATTTGAATTTCCTTTTTAATAAAAATATTCGTATCCGATTTTAAGATATATTTCAAAGAGATTTGTTTATGATTTGTACATGATTACTATGTTTATTTCAAGTGATTTCTCCTAAAAACAAACAAACAACTATTATAACTGCGTTAACAAAAGGCTAAAATGGAAGTAACACTTCAACCCAAAGTAAATTTTAAAAAAATTCATCAATATTCTGCTTATGGTATAATGAATTTATCGACTTTTAACTTTTTTTCAAATTAATTGTCTGAAATTAATTTCATGTGCAAGAATAAATTTAAATTCAAATACAATTTTTTTTCAAATTTACGCTGAAAGGACAAGATATTTTAATTTTCAATTCCACAAATTAAGTGTTCAGAATTTTTAATTTTAGCTATTACTATTAAAGTGAGTTTAAATGGCAAGAAATTTATCAAAAATTAACACAAAAGTGCACTTAAAATGTAGGAAATTAAATGTGAAGCTCTATCTGCAAGCACAAAACTGCATCAAGATAAAACTAGAAATATCAACTGCAGCCCCAGACATTCCTATGTGCATTCTTTCTTTAAACAATTATAATGCACTGTGTAATAGTGATGGTTTATTAGACAATTTTAATTGGCTTATATTTCAAGAAGATATAGTGACTAACATTTATTTAATAGAGCTTAATTACCTGAAAATGTTTAATAATGTTAAATTGAGATATAAAATAGAATTCGAACAATCAAAATATGTTAGAAAATAAAAAATTACATCCTTTTGCGTATGTTGCATAGGTGTTTAGAAATAAAATATGTTGAAAGTTGATGCTGGTCAGTGTTTTTGTTGTGGCATCAACATTCATATTTTTGCATTCTAACTCTAAATAATTGTTAAAATGTCAGCAGTCTAACAAGGCACAACATCGTTCTACTTTTAAGATTAATTATTCAGTTATGTGCTGTTAATATATTGATTGGATGCATGGGTCTGTATTGGTGATAAAAATTTTATCATAAAACACAGCAGTTTACTTGTCATTATTTATTCTAATGTTGAACCATTATTCTAACACTAACAAACCAAAGGCAAAAACGAATGTGTATTAAACTAAGAATGCATTAGGAATATTTTAGTTTACTGATAGCCAATGTTTTTTTCATGTGTAAGGTCCCTAACTGGAAACTAAACCTTTCTTTATCAATAAGTAAACTTAAGTAATCATAGCTAGAACCAAGTGCTGATAATGTTGTGGATTGTTTTGTTAGCTCATGTAAATTGCTTATTGAAAGGTTTTAAGGTAGTTTTTTTTAGTAACTTTTACACTGTTGCATATTATAATAGTTAAATTGGTAATATGAACAATAAATAACAACTTTAATGTAATTACACATTTGTTATTTCCTCAGAGTAAAGTTTGGCTTGCCATTATCTGAAGCATTCAAGGACAATGTGATACCTGTCCAGTTGCTAGTTAGTTGGATTGTCTCCATACTCTGCTACTTTAGTTTAAATCATTTTTGTTCATTAATTTATTAAAAATTTAATTATATATCATCTCATCATATCATTTCATCTCTTCTTTCTCTATGTATGATATGAGTGGTTTCAGGGTTATTATTTTACTTCTATATGATTCTTGGCTTCATTTCAATTTTTCTTTTTTGATATTGTAGAGATTGTTTTCTCAAAATATCTGTGAATGCAAGTTTAGAACCCAAATCTTAAGTCCGGATATATATCCTTGAATTTCAACAATAGTTGTGAAATAGTTTGCTTTATTAAAAAAATCTCTATATTTTGATTTTTATGACATAAAAACTATAAAACTGGGACAGCTCTAGCTAGTAGGCTGTGAATTACTAATGAATCTCATCATTTCTGTCAACAATCCATCGTAACAAAAATAATGACAACAACAACAATGCAGGATATGCTGATCTACATAGCACGAGATGGGGTGACAACGACTGACCTGTTCAGAAGGCCTGGCAACCCCACAGATACGAAGAACATCTTGAAGAAGATGGCAGATGGCAGGGATGTTGAGTATTCCAATTATAACTTTTATACTCTGGCTTCTGTTATCAAAGTAAGATGTTTATATGATTGTTTCTGTATGTTTGTATGTTACATATTAGCACACTTGTATGTTTGTGTTTATGTTTTTGCATGTGTTAACATGTAAGTTTTCGTGTGGGTTTGTGTGAAGTTTATATGTTCAACTTTACCTTTCGTTCTGTCTAAGTGTTTATTTTTGTAGAAATGTTTGTGTTGTTAATATTTATATAACTGTACTTATTTCTTCACGAGTGCAAGTATGAGTGTGAAAGTGAGTGCCCAGTACACACCTCTTTGTTCAAATGCTTTTATTTCTACGTGATTATTAGGTTTATGTCTATGTCATTGTGTATGAGCTTTTTTTGATTTTACATGATTTTATGTAACATTATTCTCTTGTATGAATATTGGATGCTCTAATTTTATTTCAATTTTCATACCAATAGCTTATTATTTGTTTAATTAGATTGAAAGAATAATAAATTGTGAAGAGTTTAATGAAATTTTCATATCAAATGCTAATTATTATTATTTATTAATATTTTCTTTAGTTTTTGTTTATTTACTGTACGATTTTACTATTCAGATATATGAATGTTAAAATTTTCTATTAAAATCTGTAATTTTTTGGGATCAATATTATCAAATTTGTTATCGTTCATCATTGATAATCAATCATGTTACTTGATATAGCAGAAGCAATATATCATTATCTTTGTAATAACTTTCATTGATTTCTAACACAAAGTTGTTCATCAATGCTAGCCAGCCAGTCAGCCAACCATTATCATCATCATTCTTATGATTAATCATCTTTATTGTCCTGCTTTATCATCATCAATCTTGTCATGGTGGTGATGATGACGATGATTGTGATATGACCATGATTATTATCATTTTTATTTTTATTCTTGGTGGTCATCAATCTTGTCAGAGGCTGATGATGATCCTGATAACGATCGTTGTTGTTGGTAGTTTTACTGGAATAAATTAAGTATATTATGTTGGCTGTGTCCACATTATAATATAATTATTTCTGAGATTCCTTCCTCATTATCAACCATATTCAACTTCACCAAGCTATCATGCTGATGTCCATTGTTATCTTATTTTAGAATGTTGGTCATCTATCTATCTGTTTTATTGACACAAAACTTTACCTTGTGCTTGGTGAGTTGGTCCAGATTCTTTGATTCAAACTAAGATATGAATTGAATGCCACCTTGACAATGAAGCATTGACTTCAAAATTTCCACAAAAAAGTTAATTTTAAAATGTGACTTAGAAATTTGATTCACATTTTGGATTATAAACATGATTAGGATTTGAATTATGAACATAAGAAGTTGATGGGAAAGTTGGAAAATTTGAAAAATAGTAACAATCTGATAATTTGGCTCATCTAGTTCAACAATATGTAGTGTATATGGATGTGCAACCTTTGTGGCATGAAAGTTTGAGTAAGAAAATTACAGCTAAGCATTTGTCAGAACTGCATACATATTGAAGAAAAATCTAAAGTTGTTTGATATAAGATTCTTACTTAATTAATTTCATACTCATGACCCTTGTGTACATGGTGAGATATAATTTATTAACGCTCCCACTCTGTCCAAACTGTCTTAATCAAAATTTATTAGTGAAATTTTCGTTTGATGTTGAAAATTCTTCATCTTTCAGTTTATTTCAGTTGTAGTAATTATTTAATTTTCTTATGACCTTACTTCGGAAATAGTATTCAATTAATTAATTAATTAATTAATTAATACTATTATTAATATTTAACGTTAGCATAATTTTCGTTTACTTTACCCACATTCACTTGTTTCAAGTTTCTGTTCTGTCTTCTTTATATGACATTCAATAGCTACCATTCATTGGTTGCTCTAAGTTTAATTTGGTCATCTTAATGAAAGAGGAAAGCATGAAGAAAGGAATGGATAGTTTAACAGGATAGATGAATGAGGTTGGACTGGAAATGAGATTCATTGAAGATGGATGTATGGGTTTAATGGTGAGGGAATAGAAATTTTGTAATCATGTTTAACTCTATTTCATTTCACCTGCTCATATTATCCCAAATGATTTAGACAAGAATTTCCACGGGGACCTGCTGCTCATTTTGTAGCATGTCATCCAATCTAGCAATTCCAAAACAAAAGAGCAATTTGGCCACTCTGTTTGAATTAATTGATATTCAAATTAATGCGCCACTAGGTTTTGGCAACATTAAAAGGTATTGAGAATAAAATTTACTGCTATTATTATTATTGTAATTATTATTGCTGCTGTCGTTCTTGAAGTTATAGGATTTTTCAAGGTTAGACCTGTCATGTTTTTGAAAATTGAAATATGTTTAATCATCATTATGATGAAGCATTTTATCTAGTGTCAAACATGGGAACAACAAACCAATGTTCTGTTTCTGATGTTGTTTCTAATGTTATAGTAAACAACTATTTAATTAAATGTGCATGCAGTCAGTTTGATAATATGCTTGCATCTGATCATTATTTCAGCTCTTGCTGACACTCTGTCAACATTAATAATGATAATAACAATAAAAATTGTTGTTGTTGAAATAGCTCAACACCCTCAATTTGAGTTTAAAGTGAGCCACATTGTTCATTTTACAGTGAGTTGTGTTCTGTGCTAACGCTATTATTTGTGTTCTCTAACCATTCTATGTGTGTTTAATAAAGACATTTTTCTTATTGAAGTAATTCTAATAACTGTATTATCTGTTAGCTATGGTATGATCCTTTGTTGGTACTATTTCAGTATTTGATGCTGTATGCTGAATGTATGCGCGTGTGTATGTTTGTATGCACACGTGTGTGTATGTATATTTATGTACATACATGTGTGTACATGTTGTATACTATACATTCACTGTTCTAATTTTATGCAGAAATAAATTTTGCAACAAGAAATGGCAATTTATTATCGAAAATTTCATACAATAATTACATCATCTCGCTAATGAAAAGCCATTTTCGAAGTAAATTTCATTTTTTAAAGCAATTTTCAGTTGATATGGGTAATTGTAGATTGTTCATTTGTCTTATCATATATACATGGAATGCAGTCAGATAGATTTATTTTAAATAAACTAAATGCTTCAAATTTTTCAAGTCTGAACTTTCCAACTTGCTAAAATGCATTCACACGTTTGTTAACTAAAAACATATCTTACATATAAGCCATGATTGGCGCATTATGTTATTTGGTTTTTATTAATGTTGTCAAAACCTAGTAACAATCTTGGTAATGTGTTAGATCCAGATTTTTTATGGGAAGCCATATCATTTGACTGTTCTGGCAATGAATTTCGCAAATACGGTTACGTTGTCGTCTGGTTGGTCATTCTAGATGGTGTTTCTTTCATTTGTTCTAAACATGACTGTCAAATTAGTTTTTGGGTTTGCATTCAAAATTCATATCACACGGTCACCGAGGTGGCTCAGGCGGTAGACGTGTCATGTCTCGCGCTGCTCTTATGCGATGGCGTGGTTCAAATACTCTCTGTCCGAAATTCAAAGACCATCATACTAAAATATGAGCATGTATGCTTATGCATAGGCATGAACTCAGTCAGGACTGACAAGCAATTCCATACGTATTCATAGGTAAAAATAGGTATACAATAAAGCGCTATACAAAGTGTTATGTAAACTCTGAAATACGAAAAACTCTTATAATTCTATCATGATTCAAACATGATAGTCTGCATCAGCATGATAATGTGAACAAACATGCATGCAAATAGTTTGGGTTCACTTTGTCAGTTATAATTTTGTCAAGCAGCTCTGTCAGATAGTTATAATCTACTAGGAAATGATAAAAGTACTTACTAGTGCAGTAGTAGCCATCAGTAGTAGATAATTATTTTTTATCATTTTTTTTATTCATCATTATGATATTTACTTTCTATATTGTTATTATTTTTTTGGCTTGTGCTATTTTTATTTTCTGTTAATTTAAAAAAAAATTAGTTTATTATTAATACTAATAGTAGTAGTAATAATAATAGTATTGTTATTATTATCATTTATGTTGTTACTATCAGAGTCAACAGTTGTTGCTCTTAATGTCCCTTCAGCTATTAATTTTATTTTTAATGAGCTTTGTTGGTGGTGTTAAATTTGTAAAAAATATTATTTTATGTGTTTGATGCAGGCTTGTTAAATGTTTTGCTTAATTATCTTTTCAGTTTTTTTGGTGCAATTTTTATTATCATTGCAATTTTATCGTATTGCTGTTGTTGTTATTATTATTATTGAGTGGTTATTTATTTAATAATCCTCAATAATATTTAAAATAAATTCATGTGAATCTGCCAGCAACACTTGTCCTAGCAATTATGATTGAGTGTTTATAAGAATTATACTTGAGGTCGTTGTGTTGCATAATTAGATAGAAGTTTCTCATATATTTATCTAGTAAAAATGGGCTTATTTATTATTTAAGTACTACTTTTTCAGTATTATATAGTCTAAAAAATGTTATATTGCTGTTTGATTGCTGTTGAGTTAATTCCTCATCATCATTGATAGTTAGTTATCCACCAAGTTCTTCCTGACATTTCTTAGAAACACTGCTCCCGCTTAGCTGTTCTTTGAAAAGGTTAATAACCTAAAAAAACAAAAGATATTTATGATGTCGTTGTTGTTGCTGTTAAGAACTTGAAAAAAACAAAAAGATGTTCATGATGTCGTTGTTGATAACTTGAAAAACAAACGATGTTGATGATGAGGATGATGGTTTTATTGAGAATCATTTAGAGAAAAAGTTTGTGTGTTTACATCAGGCGATGATCACCTTGGCTTGGTGATTATGGTGAATTTGATAATGGGTGATTATGGTGAATTTGATAATAGGTGTTTGAATATGATTACAGGCGATGATCACCTTGGCTTGGTGATTATGGTGAATTTGATAATGGGTGATTAGGGTGAATTTGATAATGGGTGTTTGAATATGATTACGTTCTTGTCATTTTTCTTAACAAGTGTGGCGGTTTGAAAATAATTTCGATGATTTATATTGAGTTGCATCTTTCATCATGTGTGTTTACACGTCATGGTAAAAATTATTACAAATATAAATGTGAATACAACAGTATCTGAACTGTTTTCTAAAAACGTTGAATAAAGAAAGTAAGGATCAAGCCGTTTTGTATTTTTAAAATAAGTTTAGTGTTTTGTAATAATTAGCATGTTGTTTATTTATCGGTAATGTTTATTACTGCTGTTTTCTTTTGTTAACGTACAATACTTTCAAAATTTCCTTTTTTTTATTAGATCAGGTTTTTTCTATTGTTAGTTCCCATATATCTGGTAATTTCATTGGTCTTATATCTGGTTATATGATGATAGGTAAATTAAATTTTGAAACAAATTTTTATTCATTAAAATATTACCTACATACCTACCTACCCACACATCTAACTACCTACCTACCCACTTACCTACCTACCTACCCTCCTACCTGCCTAACTAACTATAAAATAATTTAATTTATTCATGTTCTCATGAAATAACTTCAGGGTCTTTTAATGCATTCTTACAATGGTGTTCAATAATTTACACGTTATTCAAATGCAGTTTAGTATATTTATACAAAGTTTCAGAAGGTATATAGTTTGCCCTTTTATAAAGGGACATGTCCAAAACATTGAAGGAGGATGATTAAGGTGATAATGATGCATGTTTCTACACAATTTTATTTACTACTAAGTTTTTGATTAAATTTTCTACCTTTACAGAAATTTCTGCTGAAGATTCCTGGTGGAATATTTGGTATAGAAGCTGAGAACCAACTGTTGCAAGTTTTGAACATCAATGAAAAGCTGTTACAGTTTGATGCTATTAACAAGTTGGTTGTTTTTGGTGTTACTGTTGGTATTATTGCTCATGTGTGACTTTCATTTATGTACATTGATTTTCAAATTTTCAACACTTATTCATGTAATAATTTTTATAAAAACTTTCTATCATGCTAACAAATTGTTTTTTTTTGTTGAGTGTTAATAAAATTTATATGACTCGTGAGATTTTTCATATTGTATCTTGTACGTTAACCACATTATGTATGTGTGTCTAATGAATTATTGACATGCTGTTCTAATTTATGTTCTGTGACATGCAATGAAGAAAATATAAACAGTTGAAAAAATGTTATACAAAATTCATAAGCTAACTACATTTACTGGATACTGTGATTTAATTGAATAGTTTTTAAATCAAATTCACTTTAAGTTTGTTCTATTTTTGGATAGGCCAAAGTGTTTGAGAGCTAATAATAATTTTATAAGACGAAACTTTGTGCTACAACTGGCTTCACATTTAGACTTTTATTTTGTTTTGTCATTATCTTTTTTTTAATGTCCAAATATGAACATAAAATTTTATTATTGTTGGAACAAAGTGAGCAATATTCATATACTTCACCATCATGAAACAAGCTTATGTTTAAAGATGGACAAAAACGATCGTGTAATGTGTATTAAAAAAAGTTTTTTTATTTTCTCACAACCTCAAAAATGTCTCAACTTTTGACTGGAGGGTTATTACTATCAAAAGTTCAGCACCCATTGTACAGAGGAGGTATACAAATCTATTCTGTTTGCAAGTTTTCAAAGTTTTTTTATGAGGAACAAGAAATAATAAGATTTCAACGTTTGTGGCTTTTCAAATTATTCCCTTTTACTACTGTATATTAACTGAAAAGTTATAACTGCAGCTGAAAAGTTGAATGCTTCTCTGCCTCATTTACTTCTGTTCAAAATAAAAAAGGTCAGAGAATATTAAGAAAATCACAAATAACTTAAATTTTGTCTTGAATTTTTATGTATAAATTATTTTTTGCAAAGTTTTACGCATTATAACATTATAACAAAGTTTTTTTTCGTTTTTGAGTGTGTGAATGTTTAGACAAATAGGTGAATTGCAAATCATCTTTCTGTTATACCAAAACGACCTAGTTGATTCTTTAATTAAGATTAGAAAGTGTTGTAATAATGATTTCTCGTGCATTACTGCAAATTTTTCCTGTTATTTTTTTATTTTTAACTCAACAAACTTTTTTTTTATCCCTTTTAGCAGTGTTATCTAAACAATTTAAAAACAAAGTTTTTTTTCGTTTTTGAGTGTGTGAATGTTTAGACAAATAGGTGAATTGCAAATGTGTGAATGTATTTAAATGAGAGATGTTTAATATATTTTCAGTGCCAGCCTGATGAATATACTCCAACATGAATACATTTGTGATACATTTGCCCTACTTCATGGTGCGTAAATACATCATCACACATATGTACTGTACACATGCATATGAATCAGCATAAACATGTACTCTACCTACATCCAATCATGTTTCTGCTCATATTGATTGAACTTCCAAACATGATCTGTGGAAGTGTTGATCAGATGATAACAACTCTTTTGTTGTTTTGATTTTTAGAATTTTTTAAAACACATCTAATTATTTTTTAGGTTTAAATTAAACTTATTACTCTCACTTTAATGTTTTGTAATGAAATTACTTATTACGTCTAGTGTATCATTTTAATAATTAAATCTAATTAGTGAGTGTTTTTACTTCCGTTTTTAAAATATGCATTTCTGTTTAGTTATTCTGAGTAATAAACTTTCAAAATGACTCAACTTTGTTTAGTATTATTTTCTGTGTTACTGTTTGATGAGTATGCAAAAAGTAAATAAAAAAGTTAGATTGAAGCAGAAGCTGATACATTTGAACATTTTTTGGTCCACAAACTTAACAGCAAAATTTAAAAGTCCAACTTTTAATAATATCTACCCAGAACATTTTGAACTGCAACAACTTTCTTAAAGAAGTCCTTTTCTGCTTAATTTACTAGATTTCAGAAGTTCAATTTTTCAAAGTAATGTTGATTTTTGCAATTTTGGCATTTATTTTTTTAAATACCTGTGAACAAAGTCAGTGAATGACGTTAAATTTTATTTGTTTAACTCAGAATTATGTCCAAACTTTCATAAAATTCAATTATTTGTCAAGTTGAAAGATGTTTTAAATAGTTTTTCTTTGTCACTACAATTAAGGTCAGATTAAATTGTCAACTGGTACTAATTTAGATTGTAATAATTTTTAGAGGAGAACAAAATGTGTTTAATAACTTATATTATATTCTAATGAACTTATGTAAGTAACAACACAAAATAACAACAGGATCATACGGTCCCTGCCAGAATGCACCCAGCATCTCATCTCCCTCTTGTTCGGTACGTGGTTTCGTATGGCTCATCATTCAGATCACAACAGCATGTCTAGTGAGTCTGTAGCGAAAAGTGTAGCAGGGAGTTTGTTTCACACGTGTGCTGATGATCCAAATATGGTCAACCTGGCATCCGATGTTGTCAAAATTCTTGTTGAAAATTTTGCATCAACTGCTGTTTTCGGTCGCGAAAATGTAGAGTACTTTGCTCAGACCACAAAAACAAGAATTGTGGTGAAAGAGAAGTACAAGTATGAGCTGGATCCTCTAAGTTTTGATGGAGGAAGTAGTGGGCGTAGTAGTAATGGTGGTAGCATTAGTGGCAGTGCTAGTGTTCCCACCCAACAACACATTCCTTCAAGTTTGTTCTTTTTTGTAACTTTTGACATTATTTATTGATTAAATTTTAATTAAATGCTTCTTTATCATAATCATTTCTTAAGTTATATTATTTGGAAAACTAAAATGGTCGTTTGAATCAATTTCACCTTTCAAATATTGCTTTTTCTTCTCAATTTTCTTCTCATGTGTTAATTTACTGTGCCCAATTCTTAATAAGTTCATTTTTGCTCGTGATAATCTATTTTACATTGATTTGTTGACGGTCTGCTGTTTGTTTCTAAATGATTAAAATTTACTTCTACAGATCCTCTCTACCTTTCAGAAGCTGTTAAATAAATGTTCACAACATTTTTTTTATTCTTTAAAAAAATCAGAATCCAACAGACACAAAGTCTGTTACCACTTTTAAGACAATACTATATAATGACATCGCAGTAAATTGTTGACATTATTTTGAAAAATAATATTGTCTGAACTGTAATTAATAAATATGTCCTTTTGAAGGACAGAGAAAGAAGGCAGCTGTCTGTTTACAGAAGCTTTTTTAATCTACTACCAATAATATTGACAGTTAATCAGTTGTGAAATTTGATGTAAATTAAAAAATAACAAATGATTAAAATCATTAATAATGCAAATTTTTAACAATTTCAAATCTTGATCTTTTCAATTAAGTTCCCAATTTAGAAAAATGTTGATCAAATTAATTTTTTCAATTCAAATTTAAAAAATTATCCATCCCAGTGGGATTGAAATTACAAAAATTATAAGAATGGGCATAGTATAACTTCAATGTTTTGTTCATCTTCTAAAAACTTTTCAACGTACAAATAGCTTGATTTATAATATTATAATAACATAATAAGAATTATAAATTAATTATTTTATTATAATTTGAATAATTTTATTTGATTGATTTAGTGGAAGAATGCCTTTCACTCTTTGAGAAGGTTGTCCTTCATGATGTCAGGCTAAGAGGCGTAGACCCCAACATCAACTGTTAATATTATTTTTTTTATTTTCAATTTTTTTTTAAATATTATTTTTTAATTTTCAAATATTATTTTTTTATTTTTGAGTTTTACTTTTTTTATATTCAATTATGCCATAAATTTGTTAAAAGTTGACATCTTGTTTTTTACTGTCTTGGGTTTATTTGGTTGTTATGTTGTATATGTGACGAGCGTTTAAAAATTATAAAACAAGAATGAAATATTATTTTAGGTAACAGTTAGTAAGCAGTAAGCACTCCTATTAACTTATTAAGTAGAAAGCTAAATCTTAATTATCTTATAATTTTAGGCCATCACTTCAGAAATTTTATATGTTAATCAGTTTCTATAATATACAGTGCGGCTCAAAATGATAGGAACGGTTGGTATTTTCCATTTTCTTCAAAACCATTGTGCCGAATTAATTAAAATTTTTACCCCTAATTTTCAACATTTAAACAAACAATGAAACATAAGAAAATTATTGTTTTAAAAAAATATTAATTCAGATTATTCAAAAAATTCGATTTTACAAAAGGTCAAAATGATAGGAACGATTTTATTTTTAAGTTTAAAGCAGCAGTTTTAAAATAGTATGAACATTAGATCTCACCAAACGTTGTTTGCATTAAGCGCGTTTTAGACTGATTTGAAATTGGTTAAAATTGTTTTTCATTATGGGCAAAGGGAAAAAGCTATACAGGAATCAAACAATTTAAATTTTGACATTATGATCCAAAAAATATAGTCTGGGAAAAATTTCAAAATCATTAAACGTTTCTAAAACAGTTGTTTTTAATTTTTTAAAAAATCCATTGACTTATGGAACCAAAAAAAGTACTGGCAGGCCACAAAAACTAACAAGAAGAACAAAGGCACTTCTAATTCAAAAAGCCTGTGAGGGTACAAGCAGTTCTCTTGAGTTGCTAAATGACTTACAATTAAACTTTAGTATCAGTACTGTAAAAAGATGTCTAAAGAAATGCAATTATTTGAAATTTGAGAAAAAAATCAAATCATTGCCACTGACAAAATTTCGTAAAGAGCAACGATTGCAGTGGGCAAAAGATCATGTTACCTGGGATGGCAAATGGAAATTTGTTATCTTCTCTGATGAAAAAAAAATTCAATCTTGATGGTCCAGATGGCAACAAATTCTATTGGTATGATGAGAGAAAAGAGAAAAAAAAGATTTATTAAGAGGCAACAAGGTGGAGGGTCAGTCATGGTTTATGGTGCTTTTTCATTCAAAGGAAAAAGCCAACTGTCAATTCTTCAAGGACGCCAAAATTCTCTGGCATATATAAATGTTCTTTCACAATGTATGATACCTTTTGCACAGTCAAAACATGGAAAAAAAATTATATATCAACATGATAATGCCCCAATTCATATATCCAAAGCCACTAAAGAGTTCCTAGAGACCCATAAAATTGATGTTTTACCATGGCCAGCATTATTGAAAATAAAGGAAACAAAATAAACTATTGAAACTTATTCTATTCACTATACACTTTAAAAAATAAATTCTTTTTTCATTTGTTCCTATCATTTTGACCCAGAATTTAAATCATTAAAATCATTATTATTCTGTTATCTAAACCCTATAAAGCTTTAAACAAATTTGTTCACATTATTGTGTTTTAAATGTTAATAGAAATATACTGTGTAAATATTATTTAATATGGCCCATTTGTTTTGAAAAAAATTGAAAAAATCCACCGTTCCTATCATTTTGAGCCGCACTGTACATTGAACCTTCCATTCTTTAGTAGTGAAATATTCAGTAACAAGTTTTGAATTCATGAAAATTAGTTATTACAGATGTTAGTATTAAAATGTATCAAAACATATATATGTTACCTTACTTATATGATTGAACAACATCTATTCCTAGCAATCACACTGAATGAATTTTCTGGATGTGAGCATTCGTATCCTCAACACAGTGCATGGGAAACTTTACTCGCACCTAACAACCGATTTTCCATGGCATCATCCCTTCCGACACCTCATCCTCCACGTTCCAACGTCCATGTCAACCCGCCAACCATTCAGTCGTCGTCGGTCGATCAGCAATCACTTGCATCCTACCTTTCTGCTCCGGATGTTTGCGAGGTTGGATTTTAAATAAACTTGTGCATGTGTGTATTTGTCCACATGTTTGTGTGTACATGTGTGTGTGCATGCTGCATGCCTTGTGTGTTCACTCTTAAAACTAAATTATGATGTTGTATATGGATGAATGCCAATAATGATGATGTTTTGTTGTTGATGTGTTGCCACTTTTGATTCAGATGGTTCAATTTTAATGTAAATATTATATATCAGTATTTCAGAGTGATGTGTATATATGTGGGTTATTATTAAAACTTTACTATTTTAACGATGCAAACTTTTTTCCTCTAAGTCACCTTACCTTGATTGAACATCATTTTATTTTATTTTCGCTGCAGGTCAATGACGAAGACAACAACTCTACTATTTTAACAAAAAGTTTGAGTCGGGCTGAAAGTGTCTACAAGCGACAAATGTTACGACTGCGTTTGCGTAACAACTGGTTCCTAGACAAGTCAACTGCAACACGGTCAACATCTGTACATTCACAGCTTATGCGATCACCATTTCTACAACAAAATATTAACAACAACAACAACAATAATAATAATAATAATAATAGTAGTGATGTTGATGATAATGTTGGTGCCAATTTATTTGGTGCATTCCAACAGCAGCCTTCGTCAGTTAGCAAGCAGCCGCCGATGGAGATCTCAAAAACTTCATCATTTCCTGTTTCATATATGACATCAAGTTTCAGTTGTGATATTTTATCTCTAGCTGATGTGAAGATGAACGGCAATGCATCTCCATCTCGCAACCAGCAAGATCGCTTGGCCGTCAGAACAAGTGAGTCATCTACATCGACATTCGTCTCGTGTAGTGTCACACCTTCCACGACATCGACAACACCCTGTCCCTCTCCCAATTTGCGAGATAATGGCTCTCCGCTCAACAAAAATATTTTACAACAAGACGCTCAACAAACGCTCAACAACTTCTCGTCATTCGCAACTCAACATTCTCCCGACAGAACTTACCTGAACACAAAGACATCTGATTATTCATCCATGTTTTGTTCGCTCGCTCAATCCAAACTGCTGTTATCCACCAGCCCAGATACAAAACTTTCCAATGCTAGTAACCTTTGTGGAAACAAGGGGAAAGATGTAAGTAGTTGGAACAGTAGTGATGGTGTTGATGATAATTCCATGTCAGCATCGCCACATCAGTCATCCTCTTTTTCTTACCTTTCAACAAATCCTTACCCACACAAAAGTGTTCCACAGCCTCTAAAAAATATGATTATTCCTTCTCTAACATTCACAGTGGATCCAACTACGTCAAATACAACAACAACAAACAACATCTTTAGAACTTTCAAATGTTTTCAGGTTGAACATGTCTATGGCATTAATGAAGATAAACTTTTGAACAATGACAAGAATATTCTAGAAACCAACACAAATGAACATAACGGTCATAAAGTTGCTGAAAAAGAAATCACCTCCAACTCTGTAGAAAGATGCGTTGCTAACACTAAATTAGATCAAAATGTACAGAAAGAAACATAGCGATCGACTATATGTGGTGTTATTTTGTGTGTGTGTGTATTTTTATGTGTACCTGTGTGTGTGTACATGTGTGTGTTTAAGTGCATAGTGCTTAGGTGCGTAATTTGTGTGTATGATATTCATATTAAACAGTTATTTTTTGTGTTCACGTGTGCGTATGTTGGTGCATATATTTATCATTATTTATTGAAGTTTCAAAGTGTATTTTTATCATCGTCAATGAGAGTTTATAACGTTGCTAATGTTGATGATAGTTTAGAGGTTGTGCCTGTGAGTTTCATTCAATCTCTGGCATGCTTCTCTCAACCTACTTCCTTCTTCTTTCCTCCTATTATTTTCATTAAATGATTTTATTTTCAATTTCAAAAGAACTTTGCATTTAATTTTAAACAAACAAATTGCTTCATTTCATCATTAAAATGTTCATTTTTTTATATCTGCTATTATTATTATCATCATCATCATATTCATCACATCACATTGCACCATCCATTCGAAGTTCATTAGCTCCTGGCCACGATTGCATTCCATAAGAATGTATTTGTGATATTTTTATATTATAATATAGCCAACAGCTTTCATTTTAATAACCCTGACCCTACCTACATTATTATACCTGATCCATTATAAAGATGCAAGACCATGTAAATGTTTTTATACTATGATCAGCATTAAGATGAGTTGACCCCTCTGTTGACTTATGTTAAACGTCCCTTACTTCGATTTCGCCACTGTTTTAAACATGTATTCAGTAACGAAATGGCTGTTGGTGAAAGGAACACTCACCAATTTCAAATTTACTCAATTTTATTTTCTTCAATTTCCTCCCGTTCATCTGGATTTCTTAATTTTCCTAATTTTCATTCAAATTAAGCAAACATTTCTTGATAGATATCCAACGTAATTTCATCCATCTTCCAATCTAGGCAAATAATATTTTAGACAATGATTTTTTAATTGCAGGCGATTTGATCAATTATTTATCCATTTGCATATATATATATATATATATATATATATATATATATATATATATATATATATTTATTTATTTATTTATTTATTTTTATTTGATTAATAATTCAGTCGTTTACTCTTACTCTTACTTTACTTGATACAATGAGTCAAATAAGTAAGTGTAACTATTTTTTTTTATTTCCACGTTTTTTTCCCATTGCTAGAACAAGTGTTTTAGAGAAATCTCATTACCTACCATCTAATGAAAATTTCTACTCTTTCGTTTTGAGTTTCGATTTTTTAACAGGAGAAATTTTCACTCACTAACTATCACCAGACTCAAACTTAGTGAGACATCCTTATCACCTTCATCACCATTATATATTTTATCCGTGGAATTGTGATGTTTTTATCAACCGCTGAAGTAGAACCAGTATCCATGTTTCTTCCACCATCTGATGCAATTCCTGGCTTTCAAAGAAAATTCTGCCAACGTGCTTCCTCCATAACATGCATGCATACGCCGTAGTCATTTTTTTCGTACATACCTACTACTAACTACATTGTCATTCAAATTCATTTCTCATTTGCATCACTTCGTTTTCACACTCTTATTTTGAAAATGTTTTATTCAGCATGTAGTTGATTGATCACAAGCGTCCAATAACTTTTAGAGATATTAGTTTTAAATCACGTTTCGTTTTAATTTTACTTCAGTGATTGTTTTTTTTTTATTTAATTTTTTTTTAATTTTAGGTGTGTGTACTTACTGTACAAACGTTGTTCAGGCACACTTAACTCAGAGCTCTGACGATGTCACAGCTCGGAGTTTCAAATTTTCAGATCAGCACAAGAACCAATCTACCACCCAAGCTGTTACATTCACATGTATATAAATACTTTTGTATCATTTTTTTATTTTCTAATGGTTTCTTAAAATTAATTGCCTAAGCTCTTTGGCTGATGATTGTGATTAATATTCTAATAATATTCCAAAATAATAACAACAAAATTTCGTCATAATCAGTGTAACGTTTTTAATTGATACTTATCAAACATGAACAGTTTATAAAATTTACGTAAAAAAATTATCTTGTTCCTTGTTAGCTTCAATGAATATGAAATCTGAATGAAATGAAATTCGAGCAGATTTATTTCGACGAATCATTCAAATGAATTAATTAATTCTTCTAAGAATTCACTTTTCAATGGACCACATCATCACTCAACATCAATTTTTCACTTGATAACCTTATTCTATCTTAGAAATGACGGATTGCTGAAATTGCACGCGCGCGCACACATGGACACACACTCATATATATATATATATATATATATATATATATATATATATATATATATATATTTACCATTTATTTTGCTTCTAATTGCTTCAAGTTTCAATACAATCATTGCAGTTGTACATACGGTTTTTTTTATAAATCACTTGTATAATAGGTTTAATAGTCTTGTCTTTATTATATACACAGTATATGTACTTGTGTGTTCTTGTATATGTAAAGATTTGTGCATATATGTTTGAATATGTGTACGTGTGTGTATGTATGTGTGTGTGTGTGAGGTTTTCCAGTCGGCGCGCGTTTTGCACATCACAATGAAATGGATGTTTTGCTAGTTTTGTTTTTTTTTTGTAGCGAAGTTAATGATTGAAGGCGAACAGGTGATGGTCAATCAAGGGATTAAATTTAATATTGCGTTAGATAATGTTACAATTACAGTTGCCAAAGATATTTAACAAAAACAAATCTCACATCTCATGCACGTACTCTCCAAGAACAGTCAACATCTTCACTCTCAGTTTTAATTCCTCCATTCATCATTTTCATTTTTTCTAATAGCACATCCATCTTTGCAACTCGTCTCCTACCTCTCAGTTTAATATGATTAACGTACATATATAGATTTTATATACACGAGGAAAATTCCCACGTATTTGAACACATTATGCATCATGTTAGCGGCATACGTAATCATCGCACATTTTGTTTATACGTAGGCATGTTCATCTATAGATGTTAGAGTACTCGTTGCTGTGTTGTTTATCACTACTGCCTTCAGAACATTTGCAAAACACCGGATTTTATTTTTCTTTTTAAATATTGGATTAGTTATTGTCCGTTTGTTACAATTGTCATCGTATGTATTTTCACAACTACAATTAATTCCACGTAATATTTTGCATATGTATTCTATAGATCATTTACAATTCAATTTTACTTGTTTTGTGCTAGACACATGATTTGTAAATTAAGTAAGTATAAATAAATAAGATGCTTGTATATAAATGTTCGTTTCTCCAATTTTGCATGTTTACTGGACAAAAACGAAGAATTATTTGAAAATCACCAGTTGTACTGGTTTCTTTTTTAAAAATATTATTGTCTGTTCCTCTCAGTCATATAAATTTCTTTCTTCTCATTTTTATTTGTAATAAAATAAAATTGAAATTCGATCGGAATCTAAATCATCTTTTACCATACTAGAAAAATAAAAAAATGTTCGATAAGATACGTGAAACACTCTTTCACGCAATCATGCAAACATTTCTCGTAAAGATCAAAATGTGCATTTTTCATGAAGTGCTCATAGGAAACATATCTGACTACGCAGAAGATACTAGTCAGATTGTACTACGATTATCTATTATATTTGCGAGATAACTAAAAATAAAAGATGTCCACATATCTAGCATTTCATGGGTTCTCTAACATTGACCGCTCTGAATTATCGCTTTGATCATATCGAAAGACTTTGAAGTCTAAATCAAATATGATTGTATTCGCGATGCCCTGTTTCGTTTTAAAATAGTTTCACGCAGTGTTTTATACGTATAAAACTAATTTTTATCTGTGAAACCAACCCTTCGGGACCTAATTTATACTTGCCTTCTCTTAGACGCACAGATTCAAGACAAAATAAATATAAAACGCTTCAAATAAGTGTTTTTATATGGTCCAAACGTTGAATTAACGACTGTACAAAAGTGTAAATAATTTGAATGCATGCATGCGATTAGACAGATTTGAAAATGTATAAGTCTCAGCCGTTTAATAAACATATGCGATTCATTTTCAATTCAATTATTAAATATAATCGCATAATGGAAATATTTTTTTACACCTAAAAGTTAACTGCATAAAAATGAAACAGGACCAAATGTTAAAATGATGTTGATGTCGTGGGCAGGGCGTTGGCGATTAAATAGGACCAGAGAGGCAGGTCCACACACGACAGACCACCTGAATCACCTGATACTTCCTGTTCCAATTGAAACTCCGAGACTTGGTTCGGCACTGAGATTGACAATGGCAGCCCTAAATTGTGCAAGTTTATCGAGGGCTTGTTTTTGCTGTTGTATTGTGGACTCCTTCTCTTTCAACAATGATTCCCTCTGATTACATAGCAGCTCCAAGGCAGAAACCTGTATTCGGTATAGGATGATAACTTCAAATAAAAGGCCGGTGAAGTTTGTTGAAGTTAAAAAGATCGTGTGATGCGTAGAAAATTGACAAACAAGTTGTACAAGGTTCAATGCGAAGGTCGTGCCAATGATGATGACAAATCATTCTCATACTTGATGTGCAAGATCCTTATTGATTTTTTCACTTTTGCACAGTTCGGTTCTCAGCTTATCAACTGCAACTTCCAGTTCATCACACTCCATCTTCTTCTTCTTATTTGCATCATCCAACTTTGAAAGATTTTTCATGAGATCTGAAAACAATTATCGTTAGTTACATTATGATAAAGTTAACAAATATCTCAAATACGCATAACCAACCCATGTCAAATCTGTGAACCAAAAAATACTTTTCAAGTTACATTGAGATGTAGTTAATGGCTATGTAACATTATAATCAAAAATTCATCCTTATCAGGCCAGAACTAAGAAAAATATACCACGAAAGTTAAAGAGTTCTAGTGAACGAAAAAAGACCTGATAATTTGATTTCCCTATCTTTCAGTTGATTCGTTAGGTTGACTTGTTCTTCTTCAAGAGCTGATAATCTTTGTCTTGCACTGTTCAAACAAATTCAATTTACAACGTTTTCAAAATTCACTGTAAGCTTAGTTAAAAAAAATAATGGTCTATAATAACAAAAAAAAGTAGAATTAGACGACTTACATGTCAAGTTCAGTTTTCAGTGAGTCGTATCTTTTGTTCATGACTTCATTTTTTTCAATGGATGCCTGGTGTTCCTTCAGAAGATTGTTCATTGCTCGCGTCGCTGATTCGTGTCTGAAAATCAATTGTAAAACATTTATTTAAAAAGCTTCACAATGGAAACATAAATATTAATAAGATGAATAAACAGATAGATGATAAAAAATTATTCACCAAAGCAGATGAGTGATACATATTTGTACAAACTTTTGCAGAAGATCGCTGTGTTCGAGCCGGAGTTGCTTGTGCATGTCTTCAATTTCTTTCAATCTGAAGAATATCGTCAAGTGATATCATGATGTCGTTGTTTATAACATGATAATGTTTATCATCAGGTAAAAATACCGACGATGTTGAATGTGATGTTAGAAGATTCATGGTATTTAGACAATTATTTATTAAAAGTTAAAGCATAACTATTAAGTCATTCAGGCCAAAACTTGATGCAGTATAACGTTCTAATATATAGGTGCGCTTACATACGAACGACAACAGACTGACAACAAATCAATAAGCATGGAGTTACCTTGTATTTTCGGCTGCCATATTATCCAGTTCATTTTTTAATTCGTCTATACCTGCCTGCATTTTGGACACTGTGACGGTCAGACCATCATTCCTCCTCTCGCTATCATGCAGCAGCAAACATATTTTACGAGACTGCAAGAATGGTTAGCAAAATGATACCATGCTCTCTCCAATTTGTTCAGTAATGAAAAAATAACGTTTCCACATTGATCATTTTGAAAAGTCTCTTTACAGATTTTAAAAAAAATTTCACGTTGGATTCCACAAATACCTGATGCCATCAGGAGACCAGGTTTGCAGGTAACGTGATAAAATATTCCCCTTGTTATTTTTAACCTCTAATTAATTACAAACTCAAACTCGGCAATGCTAACTGCATGTCAGAACAAAAGTGGAAGTTGCTTTTATTTCTCATCATATACTCACTTACACTCTTCATACAGCTAATTTTTATATTCATAACCAATTAAACACCCTTATTGAAGATCTTATAAAAATCACTTCATGTATTTTAGACTTAAAGTTAATTTAGGTTTAAGATTAGATTATTAAACGACTGAAACCTCTGTTTCTTGTTCAGCCAATCGTGTTCTAAACTGTGAAATGATGCAATCTGACTGGTTGATAACTTCAGTCTTTTTGTCCAATAAGTCTTGAAGCATTTTTTCCTTGGTCTAGCATTGGATGGTTTAATATTTTTTATTTAACTTAGTAATAAATGTTGTACGTTAAAAAGTGAATGTATTTTATAAATAACAGCTATTTTGTAATGTTGACAGTAAGGAACCAAAAAACACAAATAAAAAATCAGTTCACCAATTTTTTTCAAACAAATTGAGATAGAGGAACTTCAAGAACATACCAAGAAAGCCTGCAACTTGTATTCATAGAGACTGATGACTTCCGCTGTTTTGACGTCAGTGAACTGGAAATAATATATCATCATTATGGAATGGATATTATCTCATCAATATAATCTATGCAATGATCATCATCGTCAATTCACTCATTTTAAAGATTAATTGAATAAAAATTGTAAAAAAATGTTATAAGATATAGAGCACTACTGCACACATAGACAAAACGAGCCGGCACACTCCTACTAACATTTGCAAGACCCTTCAACCTCTGTATAGTTTCAGCAACAACACCATCCAAATTTGATTCTGAAACATTACTGACTTTATTTTCAACATTCAAGAAGTTTGTGGCAATTTGAACTGACGGCAACGATGAAGATGATTGTGAGGCGTTCAGTAGATTTGAAAGTGGCTTCCTGTAGTTCAAGTTGTTGGCACTATTGGTGGCGGTGAAGGGTTTTTGCTGATTGCTGTTGTTGTTGGACATCAGCAATTGGGCTAAACTGTAAAGTAAAACGCATTAAAGAAATTATTGCAACTATAATTAGATGGATGGTTAGGAGTTTTTTTTAAATTGATAGATGCAATTTAGTTAGATGCTCTTCAACAGTCGACACATGAACATCATCACATCAATGTGAGACAATCACTTGGAAATTTATTAAATCAATCATTTCAATATATTTATTCAAAATCGACCAGCTATAACATTTTAAAACGCTTTACAAACACTCATGTAACAATAATAATGATGATGGTGATGACGACATAGTGGGTGGTTGTAAAAGTTCGTTCGAGCGTACGTAACACTGACATATCAGCATTTGACTGATTGAGAGACACGGTAGATGAAAGCAACTTTATTGACAGCCAGACGAGTTCATATGATGAAGATGATGATAAAGATGATGAAGTTGCTGCTGATTTCATTGATGATGATGATGACGAAGATGACATCAGGCCAAGAGTTATAAGAGGAAGCAGCTGCCTATCCTGAATACGTGATTTAAGGTTACAAGAAAAAATTTACAGGCATTCCATCCCATCTACGTCAACAGTAATTAATTATAATTACAACTCAACCAAAGAAACTATAATGTCTTTAACAACTTTAAATATGAGATGAAATATGAGTCAAAAAACAAAATGATTTTCTAAAATTAGATATAACCACAAGAACTGATGAACAAAACATTTGGAATAAAACAAATTAGGATGTTCCAGGATGTTATATAATAAAAAAATTATGAATAACAGTAAAAGCATATGACCTTGAGAATGTTGCTGACCTTGGCCTGATTGCTGAACAACATCTGGAGGAAATGTACGAGGGACAGTGTGGCATGCACCGAGCACTCACTTGAAATGTTGCAATTGTAATGCTTCAAATTTTTGTTTTATCATCATTTCTTTCAACTCATTATCAACGACAAATTACTTACTATCCATTTTCTTCATGTTATCATAAACGCAACTGTAGCAACCCAACATTATTAACCAAACAACACTGTTACTGAGACGACGTAGGATAGATATTTCAACACATCAACTCACTCTATCAACTTATGTTGCTATGAGAGATTATGTTTAAAGTAGTAGATTTGAAAACCTGCACTTATTTACTCAATTAATTTATTAAATTAAAAATCCTTAATAACTCAATTTTTTTTAATTTGGAAAAGTATTTTCTCTAAGCAGGCGGCTAAATAATTATAATATGACACTCCTATTAAATGTAATATGGCACTACAATTACAAACAAAAAGAAACATATAAAATTGAAAATTATTTGGATGATTATACATAATAGAGATTCACTTGAAGAACCTGGCATCAGCTGAAGTGGCAACGCTGTTGGTGGTGTTTTGGTGATGAGAGGTGCTGTTCTGACTGATGCTCAGGGACATGATGTTCTTTGCGAGTATGTTCTCATCTGTCGCCATCAGTTGCTCGTTCACCGCGTTCATACAAACATCTTTGTTCACCTGCTGTTTCACTTGGTTCATGTTTGTCTTGTTCATGCAGAAAGGTGACCACAAGTCAAGGAACTATGCGGACAGCTACATTCATTCATAATCATCGGCAACATTTTATAACACAGTGAACAGTTACATCCATTATCACATCATTGTTTTAGAATGAGGATGATAATGAGCCTGTTCAAATCATTTCTCATGCATTACCAATCCTTCAAAAACACTAAGCCTTTAAGCCTAACATATTTCTGTTCATAGTCTAGCACACCCAAACCTTTTTATTATAACCACAAACCAGGCAACTGATAGTTACACACAACAACAATATGCAAATGATCAACCCGAGAAACAACATCAGTTGCATTAATAATAATAACGACAACAATAAAGCCATGATCTTTACTTAAATATCAATAAAATGCAAACATCATGAACAAAAGGATATATTTCAGAATCCTCAGACAGATGATTAACTTTTTAGAACTAAGCATCTTGGTAGACAGCAATTTATTGAGAAGGCGAGACAGAACGGGAATCAAAATATCCACCCTCATCATGTTCATTATTTCCAACTGATAGTTGTTGTTAGTGCTGTTGATGTTGTTGTTGTACTTTGTGCTGTTGTTGTAGTTTGATGTATCAAGCTGAGGAGCGTTGTCAATGTTTGTTTTGTTCACCTGTCAACCAGTTATCAATTAAAATTATATCACGAAATCAAACATACTGTTAAATTAAAAACAATCTATATCAAGGAAAATGAGTTGAATAAAATTTTAAAATGAAGATGAAGTTATACTAAAAAATATCGAAACAAAACGTTGAAACAAAAAAGTGGTGCAACTTCGTGAAGAAATGTTAAGAGGAGCTGCAACGAGAGCATGCAGGCATTTTTGTTTGCGTTGTGACTGTCGACATCATCCGACAACAACACACAAATGACAACAACAAGAAAACAGTTGTGACTGTTGTCGTTGTTGTTGCTGGCAGCACACATGTCGTAGTTTTTGATAGTGCTGACCAGTGATTCCACGTCAAGAGAAACGCTCTGACACAGAGGATTGTCGAAAATTATTTTGAAAATAATTTCTTTTAATTTCGTCTCGCTAGAGAAGTTTATCAACAGTTCTAAAATCTGGAAAAATAGTTAAAAAAAACTTTAGTCTAGTTAGTTGCCGAGATAAAATAAAAATAATGAAACACTCTACAGGCAGTAACAGGAGATGGTCAATAAATAACAATACTATTCAACAATAAGTTTTTTTATAATCAGTAAATCGCGTTAACAGTGATGACACAACCACTGACCACATTGAAATGATGGACATTTTGCATGGATAACCCATTGATAAGCAGCGACAGGCATGTACTCAGGTGTTTGTATCTGAAACAAAACAACACAAATAATAATAGCATGAACATCACTCTTAAAACAAATTGATTTAGCTACAAAGTTACACCATGAAGATTACTACCTTAATAACACACAAAGAACATCACTATAACAACATTAACAAACAATAATTACAATAAAATACATCAACACATCAACAAGCCAACGAAATGACAATGAAAAAATTACTCAATAAGTTGTTTCTTCAAATATGGATCATGCAATATATCAACAAACAGATCGACTGCATAGTGTTGTGCTGAGTTGGTTTTGTTGATTTTGCTGTTGTTCAGAATGTTGAAGAGGAGTTGGAATATTTGAGTGACATTTGACGGGGTGAAGATCTGTGAGGTGAAGATGATAAAATGAATAAAAACACAAACTACGTCCTTAAGCTAATGCTAACATCTTAATAGAAGAAAATTTTAAAAAAACTTTAATAAATAAAACCGGAAAGCAGTATAATATTAATTTAAATGTATGTTTAAATGATTGATGAACCTGGCCAGCAATGCACTTGTCAAGCTTGAGGTTGTGGAGGATTGCAATGGATGATATGCACATCTTCTGATTCGTATGGCTCATGAAACTCATGAACTTTTTCAGAACAGCTTTCAAATTGTCCTGCATTCATCAAACTAATTATCTCTCTCGGCCAAAAAAAAAATGGAAACAAAACATAGCACAACTTGGTATATATAACACCGACAAAAAAATCCCAAAGAAGTTGTGTAGAAGATACCATACTATACATAAACATACACGCCATACCACAACACAACTCAAAAAGACCACAGCACATGGACTAACAATGGACTTGATGAACATCTGAACATGTTGGCTCTCGTGAGTCAGGTTCGACAGCAGACTCAGGTAGGGCTGCATACACTCTCCACTTGGCGATGCCTGACATCTACAATATTATTATCACTATTACTAATAGTAGCAGTAGTAGTAATGCCTGACATCTACAATATTATTATCACTATTACTAATAGTAGCAGTAGTATTAGTAGTAGTATATGTATATAGAGAGTAGTAGGAGAATAACTTTAGTATCAAGAATGAAAAAAGTAGAAATAATGTAAATGTAAGTAGCAATAATAGTTGTTAGTATAGTTTTTTATTATTTAAAATATAATATAACAAACAATGTCCTGTTGGTTGAAAAGTGCTGGTAATGAATGGTGAGAAATTTGTACAGATAAAAACAGATAAACATTCATGTTTGCATGTGTGTGCGCGTGTGGAACATTCATTGAAGACATTGAAGAAGAACACACATACATTTGTTGGAGGAGGTAGTGGAGCAATTCATTCAACTTCATAACAGGATATGGGAGAGCTGCCTTGTATGTCAACTTCTGCAGTAACCTCACACACTGCTCAAATATATTCATTCATTAATTAATTTATTTACTCCTCATATTTTACAATTGATTACAATTTGAAGGAGTGTGTCTGCTCTTTTGTATTTCGTGTACATTTCTTAAATAACATCAAAGACCAACTTAGTGACATTATTTACTGTTTCTATTCAAGATGAACTTTAATCAAGTTTAAAAATCACAATTATAATGTCTGTGAAGACATGTATATATAAAAATATAAAAAATACATTGCAATAGACAACATTAACCTATTTCCAATGTCGATGAATAATCAAGAACTTACAAAAATTAGATGAAATGAAAACATTTCACCTCAAAACTGTTAATCTTGCATAGAAAAAGAACCAACCAATGAAATGCTCAGTTCATCGGATGATGATAATGTTGATCTGAAAACATTTAGCAGTATGTTTGGTAGGTCAAATGTATCCCTTAGACAATCCTTCACAATATCTGAATTGGCTGAGGTGAAAATTCAACACAGATTATATACATACAGCCCATTAAAGAATATTTTTTACAAAAAATGGAAATGGAAAATTTTAAAACAATTATTAAAAAATAAAAAAAGAAAGAAAAATAGATTGAGACCTAAATTACTAAGTAAGGAAAGTGTCTTGTTGATGAGTGGAGTAGATTTGATGATCGTGTAGTCATTGAGTAGGCTGATGATTGATGTCATGCATTCGCTTTGAAGAATTTCAGTTGATTCAAAAAATAACAAAGAGGAACCTTTTGCAGTTATCGTTGTTAAAACCTACAACATTCAAAACATCAAAAATTATTACATTGAAATCAGAATTTACAGGTAACTAATTACAATGTATGTAAGGCTTACACCTTACATTGTAAGCTATATATTATATTAATAATATATAATAAGTAATTTAGTAATCAGCGAATGTACTGTACATTAAAATAAAAATTAAAATACTAGAATAATTTCAGTGAAATCTGACATGTAAATGTGTGTCTTGCTCAGTTATGAAAGTTCATTTATATAATTATTTTCTACTAATTAATTATCAATTAATAAATGATTTATTTATTAATATTTGACTATTTGTTTTTGTGGTTTTTAAATGATTGATTGATTAATTAATAACATTAACAAAGTAATCATGATTTAATTAAATTACTGCCAACAATAATTTAATAGCAATTGAGAAAGGTAGTAGCTAACTTAACTAACATCAATCTGACGCATGAGATGTGATTGTGCATCTTCACTGCTACAGTTGCACTTGTACTGGTTGACGGAGAGAACGAACGTTTTCGCACACGCAGTCACTTCCATCGTAAACTTTCTGTGATTGTCAAACGAACGAAGCTATTTTAAACATAAACACCGATCAGTTTATTGATTTCGATTTTTTAACTTCAATAAATTGACCGATTGAGATCGGATCGTTAGAATTAGTGAATTGAATTATGCGCGGAATGTAGTGAAAGCATTAAAAACATCTGAGGACAATGACTAACTGGCAAGGGAAAGCCAACGCATGCAAGTGATTAATTAAAGAATTAAAGCTTTTTTTTTATAAGCGATGAATGTAAAAATATATGGTACTACTTGATCGCTTGTACATGATACAAAAAAGGTACTCCTTAAAAGTAACATTTCAAACGTATTGCATCCAAAAGAAAACTTATAGAATAAATTCATCAGAAACGTTATAAACTGAACTGGAAAACCTAAATAAGGACCTTTTCCTCTTCTTTGAAACTTTGATGCCCACGCCTTCCATTCTTATGCTCAAAAATATCCAATCGCAAACTGGCGTATCGGGAAGGCTAGCAGTTGATAAACGTATAAAAGTTAAATGATCCAGTTGATTAAATTGGAATATAAATAGCTAATAAGACTTTTAATGTCTTTTAAAACTTCTTGCAGGCGAGGATGATACTATAAGTCACGGAATGCATTGATGGGCAAGTATTACAACTGATATTCGTCGAAGTTTATTGGTTTCATTAAAGGTAAGTAATACATATGGTATTTAAATCAGCCATGCATTGTATTTAAATCAGAACATCAAAGCATGAACATGTCTTCTCAGAGATTTTTGAAAATTTATTTAAGTCAAATAGTATATATTACAAAACCAATCACAAAATTAAATAAAAATAAAATAATGATAAAATGTGATGCCCCTAAATAAGAAATGTAGGATGACATAAATAAAATATATTTAAAACAATACATTAATTACATTGCAACAATCGTGCGGGTTATTTAGGACCCTTGTGTTTCTTAGGTGCATTTTTACTCCTTAATTTGTTACTTTTAAAGTTATTTTTATTTTTATCATTGCTGCTCTTTAAACTATTAAATGTGGACTTGTCAAGTTTTTTAAAGACATCATTTTTATCAATGGGCTCGATAATTTGCCCCATCTTAATGAAGTTCCTTGGTGTGATCTTCTTCTTATAGACTTCCTCCCTGTTCCACTGCTTGCCTATCGGTTGCTTGATCGATCTCTGAAACTCATGTACGTTGTGGTACTGCCAAGGTAATGTGCTCACCTGTTCGAAAGCAAACACAACAATTCATTTTACCATGAAATTATAACGACTTATTAAACACACGTTCACAGGTTAAGGTCATTGTTTCATGACCACAGTGGCGGATCTAGAAAATTTTGACGGCACAGGGACGAAAATTTTAAAGTTTGAACTTTCATGGGAGGCCCAAAATTTTCACGCTGGGGGCAAGATTTATGGTAGAGTGGTTGAAACGACCTTTCAAGGGTCGATTTTAAACATAAAACAATACTTTTTCTTACTTTAATTAAAAAATTGCTCACAACGGGGTCTCCAGTGCCCTTTCTAGATCCGCCACTTTGTGACCATATAGCCATTCATACGAAACAGCTTATGGGCACACGTAAACACAAAGTAGAGAGAAGAAAAGAAACACGACCTGGTGTTTAGCAATGGCCTCATCCTTCAACTCACTGATGATGACGGCATTCAAATGTTTGTCCTTTCTTGGTGGCTGCAACGGAGCTTTTATGATGAACCTGGTAGCAGTGATGATGGGTGATAACGTTTGTAATATTCACTGTCAAATTAAGTCTAAAAAGATATGAGAGCTTAAAAGGCAGCGTGGAACCAATAGTTGTTGTATTGCAGAGACTGGGATGTAATTTTTAAATATGGAAGAAGTATATTATCGAGTCAAATTCCTATTTTTAACGAGATAATCGTTTCATAGTTTGAAACCGAAAATTTTTTCTTTGATACAAAAAAAAAAAATAATCGTACTCACCTTTTCCTCTTCTTCTTTGAAACTTTGATGCCCACTCCTGTCCACTCACCCCAGCCAGGAAGTGTCATGTCAATGTCCTTCAATTTGTCCCTCTCCTCCATCTGTTTCTTCTCCTCCACAAACTCCATCATCACCTCGTCCTCTTCCATGGCTTCACTTACTGTCTTCGTTTTCGACTGACCGGATGATGTGCTGCCGTCGATGGCCGGTTTTTTGACTACGCGCTCCTTGACCTGAGTAAAAGACGTCTCCAACAATTGAGCGGTTGTTTGGTTGATGGTTGGTAAGGATTGGTAAGAAAAAAATTTTCATCCAACGAAAACAGTTTAACGTACATTAAAAAGCATGATAATATGTAATGGATTTGTCAATATTATATAATAAATTTGTGTAGTAACAAGAAATATAATACATAAGTTAAATTTCAAATAACAAAAAATTCATAGACATGAATAAAATTTCCAGATAAAGGAAAGTTTAAAGAAAAATTACAATAGAGAAAAAAACTATTGGACAGTGTAATTTTGTTTGAAAAAAAGTGAAAAAAGTCTAGCAAGAAAATGTTAAAAAAATTGAATGAACCTGAATAAACTGCTGAGGTCTGACGATAGAGCCTGTTTCAAGTTTTCTTTTCTTACTTTTTTTGCCATGAGATTCCTTCCATTCCTTTGTTTTGTCCTCATCATCAATGCCATCAACTTTATGCTTTGGATTTTCTAGGTCATCACCATCATCATCTTTGTCATTATCCTCTCTCACATCGCCTTCTTCATCATCAGACTTGTCCACTTCTTCGTAGGTTCGTTTCCTCACCGTGTTCTCATTCAGAGCCACGCTAACGTCAACATCATCTTTATCATTGTCATCATCAATTAATTTGCTTTTTTCGGCACCATTTTCTTCCTCTTCATCTTCATCATCATTTTCATTATCATCATCGTCGTCCTCGTCATCATCTTCGCTTTCACCACTATCTTTGTCTGCGTTATCATCATCATCTTTTTTAGCATCATCTTCTGTATCACCCACTTTCCCATCATCATCATCATCAGCAGCAGCAACATCGTCATCTTCATTACTCTCTTCTCCTTTATCATCATCATCATCATTAATTATCACCCCTTGTTTGCTGTGAGCATCTTTTGCAGCGCCATCTTCTTTCTCACCCATTTCCTCTTCTTCATCAGCATCCTCCTCTTCGTCGTCGTCGTCATCGTCACTGTCCAATTCCTTCTTGGCTGCCAGCTCTTTCCCTGTTTGAATCATATCTTGAACGGCCTGCCTGCTCTGTTGAAAGTTATTCAAAATTGTGGAATTAACAATTAATTATTTAAAACCTCATTTTAATAAAAAAACTATAAAACATTTATGTCCGCAGAAGCTGAATAATTAAACAGCTTAACTGTTGATTTCATGCCAAGAAACAATTTATTTTATTAGTAAACTGTCTGATCACAGATTCAAGCTAAAAAGACATAACGCCAGATTTTGAATCAGATAATAAACCATACTGTCAACCAACTATCCAGTAAATAGCCAACCAATCAATCAATCGTCCAATCAGCCAACCAATCAAACGAAAAACCAGCCAGCCAATCGCAAACGAACCTCACTGTTGTACTTTCCATACTTGGTCTGCCTCTTCATCAACTTGCTGGCTCCCTTGTGCTTCAATGTCATTCTTTCCTGAATGATAGATATGATGAAACGAATCAATTGTGAGAGCGGTTTTTACAAGTTGTTCAATTAATTACAAAATTGTTTGTCAGGCAAATTAGCTAGATATAAAAAAATAAATGGCAAACCAATGAATGAATTTACAGTCCAACTAACTAGCTATGTAATCAACCAACCAACAAGATCAATCAACCAACCAAAAAACTAATCCATCAACCAACCAATCAAACAAGAACTAGCAAACCAACCTCGATCCTTTTTCTTTCCTCTTTAGCAAGCCACTGCTGATAAGCTTCTGGATCTTTGACCTTCATCTCCTCCAATTTCTTCTCGTCCTCCTTTCGCTTCGACTTCCTCAGCAGACGATGGTACCTATCAAGGTGATAATAATTGCAATAACATCACGAAATAATAACACTACAATGAGCTGATCATTCGCGTACATTATTTAGTTTAGTGATGTATAGGCATGCAAAATTTACCCATATACTATCTACATAAAACGCCCATCCCCAAATTTTTCAAAATCCGAAATAAAGTATCAATTTATGCAAATTTCACGCCACTTTTCCAAAAATAAAAGAACGACGATCTTGGAATAGCCGATATTTTATTCTCCATTCAAACAAACGACTGATTCCGAAAGATGTAAATCGAGATAGCCATCCATGCCGTGCATTTCCAACCAACAAAGTGCAAATTAGATGTAACATGTAACATCTCTAATTAATAATTAGTTGGCTGGTGCAAAGAATCAAAAGTCTCATGTACCAGTTAATAGACAGTTAATTAATTAATTAAGTGGATAATTAATTATATAATTATTATTTATAGAAAAATAATGTAGATACAAAGTTGGATCCAGATAGTATATAATTGGAAGAACGATACATAGAGACTGGTTAGTGAATACAACTTTTTAAATGACCAGTTAGTGGATAAGACAGTTGATCAATTAAACAAATTCAATATCTTTTTACATATATTCATATATTGAATGAATTCATCAGACCAGGTAGTTAATTAATTAATTAATTAATTAATTGATCAACCAATTATAATTTATTAGCTAATTGACAACCTTTTACTTTTAATCTTCCCCTGCCTCTTCATCTTGGCAGCATGGTACGAAAGGAGAGCTCGTTGCTTCTGGAGTTCTGCCCTTCGAGCTTGCGCCTGTGTTAATGATTGTCCATGTCATCATCATCATCATCGTCATCGTCGTTAAACATTTGATGTCGTATCGTTATATTATATCATATCATATCGTTAAGCTTATCAATAAATCTTTAATAATAACAAGGAAGGATCTTTTCATTTTCGGTTTAAAACACAAACACAAAAAAAGAATTAACTGTTAACAATTGTTAAAATTTAATAGAATAAATAGAATTCATCATAAAATAACCTTAAATGATAACAACAACAACAACAACAACAATAATAATAATAATAATAATAATAAAAGTCGTTATAACCTTCTCAATGCTCATAGCCTTGAGGGCTCTCTCCTCGAAAGCGGACAATGGTTTTGTGTCGATGAGGTGGTCTTTGTTGGCCTGTAGCACGTCTGCCACTGCTAGCTCCAGGTTCGTTAGAGGCTGTCAGTCAGTGATAAAGAATGAGTGAATGAACGAGTAAATGAATGAGAGGATGAACCAGTGAATGAATGAATGAGAAGATGAACGAGTGAATGGCTAAAGAATGAAGTCACCCACTACCAATTTGACTAACTCAAACTTGAACATAATAAAAAAAAGGTAACATTTGCACATGTCGGACTGAGAAAAAATTTTTCATTTTACCTTTCCACCAGTAAACATAAAGAATCAAATTTTGGCCTGATGTTATATACATGAAGCCAAACTTATACACAGAACATGGTCAAAAGACGAGTTTCACATTTAACTAATTAACCAGTAAAATAATTAACAATTAATAATAATAAATTAATAAATATATATAAAAATTAATAAATTAATAATTGAATGAAGAGCAGCCAACCTTTTGATGCTTAACGAATGTGTTGGTCTTTTCAATGATATTAATGTTCGGTTGAACTAGAGGATAGTTCATGTGTTTTTGCTGTCAACAATAAATAAGTTTAAAAAATAAATTTGACTAAAATTAATTTTACTCCAACCAAATTTAAATTCAATCAATCAAAAATTTATGAAACAAATGATGATAGTTTAAAGAGTTGCACTGAGAAGTGGTGCATGAAATTTGGAGATTCAACCAACCAACCAACCAACTGACACACGTAGAAACAAGGCACACTGTCAAATGAAGAGCTTTACAAGTCAAATGTTATGGAGTTAGAGTGAAAAAGAAAGAACAAATAGATGTCTGGTGAAAAATTATTATAAAAGAACAAAGGATTGGAATAAAAATCTTCATCTTAATACCAAAAAAGAAAAAAATAGACAAAAAAAATTAATAAAAATAAAATAAATACTAAAAATAATTGCTAAAGTGTGCTCTACATGGCTGAAATAAAGGCTACTCCATAAAAAAGACACAATGGATCAAACAGATTGCATCAATTTTGATAATGCAAACATAACATTGAAGTAATAAATGTGATAATGATATATTTGGCTGATGGAAGCAAATGAAGAGATAAAATGATGAAAGAGAAAGATGAGAAGACGATGAACCTTATCATATCCCTTGATAATTGGATCCCAGCATGTCATGGTCTTGACTGCTTCTTCATATCCAATTATCCTTCTAATCTAATGTGTCCAAGTATATTATTTTTATATACAACAAGTGTAATACAATGACATTGGTAGTAAAATTTAGTGTTTAAATAGCAAAGTTTATTGTTTAAATAACTGTTATATTACTCCTTAAGCCATGGAGGTGATTATTTTTTTAAATTTGATAACTTCTAAAACAAGTTAAATGTAATTAATTAACTATACAAAAATAATATTACAAAATGTGACAATAGTTTGAGCCAAAAACAAAAAACAATTCATTCCCTGCAACAACAACAACAATTCACACATTCAAAACAAATTAAAATGAAAAAAAAAACGTCAAATAGAAATGATAAAAACGAAACCTTTTCATGCTCAGCTCTGTGAAGTGGTTTCTCAAGGACATTTTGTTTTTTAAGGTCCTTTTTCAGTGCCAGCAGATCTTTGCTCTGCTTCGTTTCTGGGCTTATCAAATCATCCAGAGATACTTTATCTGCATTTGTATGAAAGTGTTTTTCCATTTTAACAATGCTCTTAAGGTCTGTTAGGCTAAACATGTTAGAAGACAAGTAGAAGCATGAAATATTGGCAAACAAAGTTTACAAAATGGATATTTTATAAATGAAATCGAGAAGGAGCAATGAATGAAAGCATAGCTGACTGAGAGATGTGAGTGTGGAGATATTTGTTGTTGGTTCAGTTCGGAGGTCTGCTCTCCTGTTTGTGGGTTAAACAAAATTAAACGTCAACATTAACATTAAACCTCAAGAGTAATTTCATTAAAGAATTTAAAAATTGAGAAACAGATTATCTTTAATATTAAGCAAGTAACATCCAAAAATAAAAATAATCAAATATAATTAATCAACAATGAGAGTTTTAAAAAAAGTTAATTAGCATTATAATACAAATTTGGAATGAAAAATCTACAATGAAAAAAAATGTAAAACATAAGATGAGTTATAAAGTGTAAGTTGAGTGATACAACATTAAAAACACAAAAATGAAATTATTTTTAATAATCAGAAAACCCCAAAAAACCTCTGTTTGCCTGAAAGTTGTGCAACTGTTTTCTTCAAGTGCTGAAGCTTCAACTCGTCCTACAGAAATAAAATATGATATTTTATCATATGATATTTTATATGATATTTTATTTTACCACATCACATGAAGTGTTTGTGATGCATGTGTGTGATCATTCTCCAATACATTTACATTACATTTACTTACACTCTTTTTTAAATAAAACTAAAATATCATCTAACTGACCTCATTTTCATTTTCGTCTTCACAAATTTTTTCATTGTTCCACAACTCAAAATCATCATCCCTTTTGAAAAAATTATTTAACAAATTCATTTATTATTATTATTTTATATTTATTTTTATAAATCATTTCCATTAATTATTAATTTTTAATTTAATAACTTGTTTGATTTATTATTTATTTTATTATGATAACATATGATTTATAATTTTATATATTATTTTATTAGCAAGTTTTTTAGAAACTAAAAAAAATTGATAATTGTTGAAGCTTAAATTTATTATTATCACTGTTATTAATTATTATATTATATAAATATTATCATAAAAAAATTTAAAAATACTTATTTATCCGGATCGTTAATATTAATTAAATAAATAGTAAAAAATTCATCAGGTGGACGAAAAAATTAGGTTCACATTGCTCTCAAACGAACAAAATTAAATAACACTTACGCCTTGTTCGACATGTTTTAGAAATTTATCAAAACAATTTTTTCAATCATAAGATAAAAATAAAAATAAAACACGTGCATCACCAGTTTAAACTACAATATTATCGTTTGTAAACAATCATAGACAAGTAACTTAGGATTATTTTGATCACCGTATCAATGGAATCGTCATAATGCAATGAAGTTAAACGTTTAGTTTATATTTATGTTTGTTAATATAAAAATGATTAAGTTGGTTCTGTAAAGTATAATAAAATTGGTTTAAAACTATAATCAGAATAAATTTTTTCAATGGAGAGTTTGGAAACGGAAAACGCTTTTATTAAAAAGACGAAAAAAGTGGAGTCGAGGAAGAAGACAACAGGCAATGGGCAGCTGAATGGAGATGAAAACCCGTTTGACACTTTGAACAAGTTGATATGCGACCACAAATCACTGTTCGAACAGTACAGGTCATACACCAAGGACGCCGATAAGATCTTTGGCAAGTTAGCAGATCTTTGTTAGCAGCACTGAACCGACGCTCAGATACACATGCTATTTGTATACATCACACACACACATACACACATACACATACACACACATACACACACACACACACACATTTTTAAAGCCGTATAGTTAAGTAGGAAACTTAAAAAGTGTTTCACTCACAACTTCCCAAATAAAACCAAACTAACGTTGTATCACACGTGTGCATCATCCACTGAGGAGCGAGCTCTCTACGCTGCACCACGTCATGTCGCTGCCAGAAATGAATTATATTAGCGATCATAGAACTTTTAACAATAACAGTAACGTTATAAATAAAGTTATGAAAACATAGAACAAACTTTTAAATCATTTTTTAAGATACATGCTGATGGTTGAAGCCTTGAAACAGGAACGCGACACAAATAAACAGCTTTTACAATGCGAAAGTACGGATCCCATTATTTCAAAAAAAAAAAGGAAAATAAGAAACGAGTTGATGATTTTGCTGAACAAAGAGACTTGCCTCGTCGAAAGTATAACAAAAACTCTTGAACAAATCAACAGAGTTCAGCTGGGCATAAATGAAAAAGTAAAATTTTTAAAATATTCTCATCAAAACCATTTAAAAATTTTTTTAACAATAATTAAACTCAGGAAAAAGATTTGATGATCAAGAAAGTTGACTTGAGTAAATTTTTTGAGGCAGCCAAAATTCGATTCACTCGAATACAATATATCCAGGATCTCGAACACCACAAGTACCAACGCTCTGTTCATTACAACTCATCTATTGTGGAAAACCAGGTTAGTCTACCACTTACTAGTTTTTAGCCACTCGAGGCAAAGTTTTATAAGTACAATTATTCTATGATAATAAATATTGGAAAAACTAAGCGTTGCGTTGAACTATAATTGTCTAGAAACTGCGTGACAAGATAGACGATATCAAAGTGCTTCGTAATAAATACGAAGTGAGTTACAAAAAAGTCTTGAAAGAAATTGAAATGATAAAATTGAAGAAGAAGAAACTGTTGGAAGAAGCCCAGCAGTCAATTGAAGAAAAGGAAACCACAGTTACTATGATCAACGCTGTTCTCAGTGGCAATAAGAAAGAGGAAGATTTGTATCAACAAAAAATTGAGAGCATGAAGCAGGTCGGATCGTTCGCTTCAAGTGTTTTATTTGCTTTCATTATAACTTTTCTGATCAGCTATTTAAAGTTTAAATTAGCCAACACTTGTCACACCTCTTAAGTAATGAAATGTTATTCGTATTCAGAATTTTTATAGACAAAATTATATGAATTAGGTGAGGCTTGTACGACGAGTTGGGATAAATTTTACGTTTGAAAAATGTGTGCTGAAAGGCTTACATGAAAGCGAACAACTTATTTGAAAGCTTTTGTTTGGCTGGCTGGATGATTGCATGGAAATATATAAACGTTTAAACACATTGCTGTTCATAGATGATCAGATACGATACAAAAGCCACTGATTTTCTTGCTAGAAAACTGAACGAACGAAGCGACTTGAGGGCAATAGGAACTGAACGACAATTGGATGAGCTGAAAAAAACAATGCAATCTGAGAACAAAATGCTGTCCCAACAAAAAGAAGCCCTTGAAGCTATCCAAGATTTGACGGAAGAGAAAGAAGGATTCATGATGGTTCACACGTACAATCAAAAGGAGGCGGACAAAATGGCGCTCTTCAACTATATTGCCGACTTGAATGGAGAACTGACCCATCTGAAACAAAAGCACAATTCTCTTTTGAAAGACATTGAGGAACTGAAAAACGAAGAAATTGTGGTTGAAGAGAATTACAATGTGTTAGCGAAGAAAAATGAAGAGAAATATTTAGAGCTGATGCGAGAAATGGATAAGTGTGACAAAGAAAGTTGTCAAATCAATGCTACCATGGAAATCATCAAGCACTTCATTGAATGCACGTTTAAGGTTAACTTATTTATTAACATTAACTGCTTAAATGCATCAGGTACGCTATTTACATTCGTTTTAAGAGTTTGTTATTTGTCAAAATTGTAGGCGACCATTTTCAAAATCTCTCTGCAACAACATCATTTTTAAAAAAATTTAGATTTTTTTCGGCCATTAAATCTCTTTTAGGATGATTTTTCAACGAGTACAACTCAATTTTCTGTGGTGAGTATTTGAAGTTCCGCTATAAAGTTCTCCTTTAAATTTAAACCTAGTTATTTACTTCATGTTCGCTTGTTTAAAAAAATGTTTGATTTCATTCATTTTTAATCTTTTTGTAAAAATGTTAGGTCTGTCGTAAACATTTTTGTAATCAACGTGCTCTCTTAACTTTTTAAACACTAATAAGTAGATCCATCGAGATTGAAAGTGCATTGCATTCGAGCCAGGCCATCAAAATTCATTTTATAATAAAATATAAGATCCATAATACAAATTTGTCAGGAGTTGTGCTGCGATATGGATGCTATTGAAACAAAACTCGGGTTAGATTTGGACGTAAATCCAAGAAACATGACTGAGTTTTTGAGTGAAATAGAAGTGGAAGTAGCCAGACTGATACATTCATACAATTACGGCATGAAACTTAGATCTCTATCGAACCGTGAACATTTGAAGGATGAAGAAGGTCTTGATGTAATCAAACGAACAATGAGAGCTTATGAATCCGTTATTCCATACGGGAATGAAATGGAAAATTTTAAAAATGTGCAAGTGCCAAATGCCGCATTATCCACACCAGCAAAAGATGGATGGAATATAATTCAAGAGAAATCCGTTTCAGACACAAATATTTACTTGAGAGCTCTGACGAAAGAAGAGATTGAGGAAACTGTGAAGAAGGAGATGGTGCATAGAAACTTATCCATCAATCACAAGTTAAAGTCGAACAAGTAGGATTTCATACAAAATATTCATTTTTATTAAATATTGCAAAATTATTTTTCAGTGGTGAATCAATTTTGTACGACTAATTGAACCTTAAATTAAGTTTTTCTATTTATTTTCTCAGTCCAGCAACATAGGGACGGATTGGCGTAGCTTCACATTGACAACCAAAAAATTTTCTATATTGGTTTAAAAAATAAATTTTTGTTTCAAAAATGATAACTAATAGAGTTCGTGTTTTTTGTGAAAGTTAATAAAAGTTGAAAAAATACATTGATCTTTGCTTTTTAAATAAAAGGTCGTAATACAAATTTGTATGTTGTTTATAATGATCCACAATTGAATCTATTTTACAGCAAGTCACGTCAAGTCTTATGAAAATAATTAGTAAAATTATTAAGTTGGAGAAAATTACGATTGCCATATTACAACATTCTAATTACATTAATGTAATTAGAAATAACATTTACATTATCACATCAAATGCCACGAAATTTTAATAGGGCTACTGAATAGTCAAGTGGCGTTTTGTGTTGTACGTGTAAACAGTAAAAGTATTGTAGGCAATAAAAAACATTTCTCCTGATTTTAATCTAAAGTAAGAGCATTTAAAAAAGCATCAACGATAAATTTGGAAATAAATGCAACCCTAGTGTACATTAAAACAATTCATCGACACATTAACTATATACTTTAAATCATTTTTAAACATCAAAAAGCAAAATAAAATGTTCAAAATAGAATCAGCGGACTAAACTAAACTTATATATTGTTCGTAAACAAAGACAAGAAATAATAACGTAGAATAATACTTGTAGTCATTTATAGACACACGCATAAATATCTATGAACATGAACAACGTCGTCACAGATCGTTTCAACCAACCGTCACACGGTTGTTGTTTGGCTGGCAGTGAAAAATATCTTTTTAAAATTTGAATTATTATTCGCAATGGAGAAGTCAAATGATAATAGCCCCCGAAATAATTTTATTAAAAAATCAAAATTTTCCGAGCATAAATTGTCTGCTGGTACGTTTATGGGAGATGAAAATATGGCAGACATGTTGAATAAGCTAATCGGCGATCACAAGTCATTGTTCAAACAGTACAGAACGTACGTAATAGAATCTGATAAGCTTTTTGCAAAGTGAGCCTTTTTGAAGCTATAATAAAAAAAGCCTTACAATTTATATTGAATCAATGATAACTTTCTCTAAACTAAAGATACGTGTTGATGGTTGAAGCTCTAAAACAGGAACACGATACGTTGAAAAAACTTTTGCCGTGTGAAAGTTCTGACCTCATGATTTCTAAAAGGAAGAAGAAAAATATAAAAGATCTGTCAGTTCTGTTAGAAGAAGAAGCATGTTTGTTGAAAGATATCTCCGATACGCTTGAGAAAATTCAGAGGCTGCAGTTGACAGTAAATGAAAAAGTTAATAATTATACTCCTTGCTGGTCGAATTATTGCTAAAACAATTAAATTAAATTGTTTAAAATAAGGAAAAAGTCCTGGTAATGAAAAAAGTTGATCTCGGTGATCTCCTTGATGTGGCCGTGTCTCGTTGTAGACGGATGCGACAGTTGCAAGAGCTCGAGGATCGAAAATATGATCGTTCTGTTCAATATAACTCAGTCTTAAATGAAAATAAAGTAAGTTCAGTGTAAGCCGTCGTTAAGTGATTTTTTTGCACTTGTAAGTTTTTGCAAAGTTAAAAATATGAACACCTTAACACCGTTCCTTAAATTATAAAATCTTTTAAAAAAATACAAAAAATTTGTGCAACTACAGATAGTTAAAGTAAAATTTATTAAACCATGCGAATTGTATTTTTTTTTACGTTAACCTGTAAATTTGTTAACTTATAATTATAATTAATTGATCAAACGCAATAAATTTATTCGCAAGAAATTGCGCAAAAAGATAGATGAAATAAAAGTAACACGCGACGCCTACGGAACAAGCTACACGAACGTCTTGAGACAAATTGAAATGACGAAATTAAAAAAGAAATTCCTACTCGAAGAAGTCCAGCAGTTCATTGAAGAAAAAGACTCCACCGTCACCATGTTCAACGCCATTCTCAGTGGCAGCAAGAAGGAGGACGACTTGTACCAACAAAAAATCGAAAGCATGAAGCAGGTTGGCTTTTTTAACTACTCGCTAGATACAAATCATGAACTGTGAATATTTTCGGCAAATGTGTTTGAAGAATTTTTTGTTGAGTTGGCTCAGACGGTATATGTGCCATATTCTTGCACCGACGTGGATTAAATGCTCGTTTTGCATATCCTTGCGTCTCATGCTTTTGGTTTGAAAATGTAGGTTCGTCTATCAAAGTTTTTAATTTTCAGCTAAGTAAGGAATTGTTTGTAAAAGCTGTACGACAGTCAGAACTGCATAATAAATAGTAAAAAAATAGTTGATATATTTCAAAAAACTGCAAATTGAAATGTACTATTCATATTTATAGGCAGCGATCCTTTTCTTTTGTGTGAATATTAACTTGCATTATAATGAAATCTAAATATCTATAATTTTCTAAATAAAGACAATGACGCGCAACAAATGTGAATATTGTAGATGATAAGGAACGATACGAAAACGTTAGACTTTCTCGTCAAAAAACTGAACGAACGAACGGATTTGAAAGCAGTAGAAGCAGAACAACGATTGGAAGAACTGAGAGAAACACTAGAAGAGGAGGGCAAATTGCTTTCGTTTCAACAGGAAGCTCTTGAAGCTATTCAAGATTTAACAGAGGAAAAGGAAGGATACATGATGGTTCACACGTACAACCAGAAGGAGGCAGACAAAATGGCACTCTTTAACTATATTGCCGATTTGAATGGAGAACTGACACACTTAAAACAGAAACATGCTAGTCTTTTGAAAGATATTGATGCGTTAAAAGCAGACGATGTAGCAACAAAAGAAAATTACACCATGGAGATGAAAAAGAATGAAAAGAAATATTCCGATCTTATGCGAGAAATGGAGAAATGCAATGAAGAAAGTTGTCGAACCAATACAACAATAGAAACTATCAAACAGTTCATTGAATGCACGTTCAAGGTTGAGTTGATGAACTTTTTAAAAATATTTGGCTTTAATATCTTTATATCGTTTTTTTACATTATTATAAAGGTTGTCTAAATTATACAATATATAAAAGTGCTGTCGTATTAATATATATCATTGTTGATCCTTGCTTCAGGCAGGTTTAGTGTATCTAGGTATCTAAACATTTATATATATATATATATTTATATTATATATATATATATATATATATATATATACATTGCATTTAGAAACAAACTAATAACTGCCATCAAGGAATTATCTATGCAATTTTGCATGATAAAAAGTTTTAAAACATGAAGCCTAAACTAGGTTTTCTACAAAAGGAATTTTCTCAATCCTACGAATTATTACAAATCTCATATATCATATACATATTTGTAGACGAACGCGCAATAAAAATTTTAAGTTCAAATTTATTTTGTTATATTTTTCTAAAAACACGTTATTAATCGGGAAATAAATTAATTTAAACGCATTTTCAGAGATTAGGTTGTGACATGGGGGCTATGGAGAAAAAACTTGGATTGGACGTAGACATTAACCCAAACAACATGACAGTTTTCTTGAGTGAAATTGAAGTTGATGTAGCCAAACTAATACACTCGTACAATTATGGGCTACGGTTGAAGTCGCTAACAAATTACGAACATCTGAAAGACGAGGCGGGAAAAGCAGTCATCAGGGAAACAATGAAAACGTTTGAATCCGTCATTCCATACGTGGACGAAGCCGAAAATTTCAAAAGTGTAGAAGTCCCACATTCGGCTCTAGCTATACCGACAAAAGATGAATTTGCTTCAAATATGGAATCATCTGCTTCCGACCTAACGATAACAAGAGCCAGAACCAAAGCCGAATTCGAAGAAGCAGCAAAGAAGTTAATTGCGAGTAGATCTGCTTCAAATGCAAAACGCCGATCAAAGTTCATCAAGTAATATTTCACTCGTTATTTTTAAACGAAAACTTATTCGTTCGATTGAATTGCCGCGAAACAACCCGTTTATGGCATTAAAATTGCCTGCAAGTTATTTCGGCCATTAGGATACTTCAAGTGGTCGCGCTTAAATTCTTCTACTTCTCCCGTTTTAAAATTAGACGAAAATACTGCAAAACACAACGCTGATAAATGGAAGAGTGCAAATTTAACCGGTTGATAACGCATGACGTCTGACGCGATAACGATGAATTGTCAGATGACGATACCTCGCAAACCACAACGCCGCTAAATCAAATAATTTTAATCTTTTTTTATACAACGGACGCAATTGTTGTTTAGATAGCAGTTTTTAACCACGACTCTTGTAATAAATTTTTCTCGATGAAAGAAAATTAAATCTTCGCTTAATTATTCATTGTCTTCGAAACCACTTTCCTTAATTGGTTAAGTTCGGGTTTTAAAAAACTAGGAAGGCATAGATAGTTTTTTTTACACGATAAGTGAATGCGTCCGAAATTAAAAAAGATAATTCAAAAATTTAGTTCAAAACCTAAAGAAGATTTTTAAACTTTTAAAGCAGAAACTTTTAAAACATTTATTCAGAACAATTCAACGATCAGCAATGAAAAATGTAAATTTACTGAAAACGATTGCATAATTAAGGCTAAATATTAAAAACGCATATAAAACTTTAACGCATAAATATTTCAAAAACTCATTAAAATTTGAGAAACATAAAAAAATAAAATATTAACATAAAAGCTGACAAATATTTGAATGGCATTATTAAAGAAAATTATCGGTAAATTTTTTGTGTGAACGTCCTACCCTGCTTTTATTTCGTTCTCGTTATTATAAAACATTGATATGAATATTAAAATAGTGACTGTGGTTACATAATACTTTCTTATTATAAAGTTTAATTACATTACAACTGTCACAAATAATTCATAAAGCTCAAACATAGATTGCATATACGAATACCGTTAAAAACTTGTTTAACACTCAACAGATACTCCAAGATGACATGATTGGTCGTCTGATCAGGTCCTGGATTTTGAGATGTTACCATGTGACGGTGTGTTTGTTTGCACGAAAGAAGAAAAGTCAAACGAAAACTTGTGTTGATGCAATAGGTACTGAATGAATAAAACAAATTTTGGACCAGTTTATAAGAACACAGATTCAAACACTGAAACGAACATATAACAAATGACGGCATTAAGAGCATCATTTAAATTAATTTCTTAGGAGATCAATAAATATATTATTTTAAAAATTTTGTTCTAGCAATAAAAATGATGTTAACATAAAGCAAAGAAACGATTTATGATGTTTAAATAAAACATTGAAGTATAAAAACCGTGTAATAAAAATTACGATGAAATATAAAAATTTCATTGAAGTAAATAAAAAAATATTAAATGAAATAGAAAAACTGAAATGGCCGTTAAAACTGCTTGAATACCAGTAAGAAGCCACGTCGTAATTACGCTTCTTCTAAATTTTTGGTACAACAAAATGCAACAGACCGTTCATGAACAACCTGCGAAACCTGAACAACCAAACACACATCTGACTGGCAATGAATGAACGAGTAGAAATGAAGACAAAAAACAAACAGCCTACAAAACATAAACTGGATCGAGCAGGTGCTTGGAATCAAAACTGAATCTGATAAAAGGCAGAAGAGGCAGGGAGGAATCTGAGAAATGGATGGGGCACTTGATGGAGCCATTTTGAACTTTCCGGCACGGAGCCTCTCTCCAGAGATACCTCAGTCCTGTGATTTTGTGCGCACAGTTCATTGCCACATTCAACTGGATATCTCTGGTTGGAATGTGCGCAACGGATGGGATGATCGGTGCATCGACCCACTCACGACCTGGGGCGAAGGGAACCTTCATATAAAGGGAAGAACATGTAGAGTTATCCTTGGAGCAACATACCTGGTTGTTGTATGAAAAAGTTGACGTAATGTGAAGTTAAAAGAAGAGAAAATTCAGTCAAATCAGATTGTATAACTTGGGTTGAATAAAACCGTGAAAGGAGAATTACTCCTGGAACTGAAAACTAAGCAGAATGTACAAAAATAAAAAAGACAAAAAGTAAAAGGGAGTAGTAACCTCAAACCCTTGTGTGTCATGAACGGTGACGGTATTCTTCAATGAAATCACCAAAGGATTTTCACGCACATTCTTAGGGAATACATAGTTGATGGGCAACTGGTTGTCGTACATATAACTCCTTCCCTCGCCACGTTCACCAACGTTGTCATTGCTGCTGCTGTATGCATGTGACAGGGCTCCACTCAATAATCTCTCGGATAATTCATTATAACTGTTGTAGTGTTCAATTATTAAGTATGTATTTTCGTTCTATTCCATTGTAAAATTCCAAGGAACATAAAAAAAGTTCGTTATATAGAAAGTTTCGTTGTATAGAAGTTTGTTATAAGGAGGTCTGATTACTTTTATTTTGCCGCCTGTCACAACTACATAATAGCGGTCAAATAGTTAATATCGTGCAATGTTATATGTGCTAATCATCAGATCAACTGAACCATTCCAGCATAAACCAACTCTAAGTGGCTGCCCACAAGATCGATGGTTGGCACCAAGAAAGCCCCTGGCAGGATGGAGTTGGGTAGGTAGCCGTGGTTCATTGTCTGCTTCCACCGAATGTCCACGCGACTGAAGCTGCTGTTGCTGCTTTGTTGACTCGGAGGAATCTGATGATGATTGGTGTGATGGCGGTGGTGTGATGGTGGTGTCGGTAGGTGGCACATTAAGTGCATTTGAAGTGCATTTGAAGGTTGGCTGGTGAATCAACGAATGGATGAACGAATGAATCAATGAATAACTAAATGAATAGGTATATGGATAAAAAGTTGATTGATCATATGATATCTATACAAGGGTTAATTAAATAAAGAAAAGAATATTGAAAAAAATTTGCTTCTATACTTCTATCATCACCAACTCACCTGGACGATTGCAAACGGCTTCACAAAACCTTGTGGCTTCAAATTCTTCGCATGCTCATGATTTCTCCACGTGTTTATCATGTGTATGAGAGGACAGCTGTAATTGGCTGAATCTTTGCTGGCATCTTGTACACCTGCAGTCATTGGTCAGTTTGAGGTTGATATTTCATTAAACACAAACACCATCATAAGCATTATAAAGAGTTTAAAGACTTATCAAAGCAATACATGATTATTGATTAACACACAGTCTAAAATCACAAGAGAGTTGTTGAAAAGTGACACAACAAAATTCTTACACACTTGAAATGATAGAAATGAATACATGAAATGTGAGGAAAAGAACCTCCATCACAAAAGTAGTAACAAACGAGAGGTAGCCTAACTAACCATGAAACCAAACAACGCCGTATGTGGAGAATTCTGTGAGAGGGTGCAGCATGGCATTCCATATCTTGCTGCCTGATGACTCTCCTTCCACTCCTCTGAAACACGTATTCAAAGCACATTAGAATGTCTTCATTTGAAAGAGTAAATAATGGCTGAAAACAGTTTCACAGGTTATAACAATACTATCATTAAAAGTGATGTATTATTAATGATTTATATTAAAAAAACAAATTGAAATTTTAAAAAATCATCAAAAATCAAATCTGGTTGAACAATTAAAACCAAACCAAACATTCAAAGAAGTCATTGCAATATCACATATACATACATAATAACGCTGTTGGGCAAATTAAAAACATTACAACGTACGTTAGAACATAATTATTCAAACCAAAAAAATATTGCCCAGAACTAACGAATCTCTTCCTTGTTCGCATTTGTTGGAGCTCGGAGGTGCCCAATCTTGGATTAGAGAATCGGGGAAAGTTGCCAGCACAAGTCCAATTGGATATTTCAAGTGACGTGCAAGTTTCTGTCCAAACAGCCAACATGTTGCAGACGTGTTTGAGATGGTATCTAAGTGGGTTACATAATGCAAATATCTTGTTTTTGTTTGTAATTTTCAATACAAGATTTGAAAGGTGAACCAACAAACCAACCAACCAACAAACCAGCCAACCTACCAGCCAGCCAACCAACCTACAAACCTTTGGAAGGAATGGTCCAATGATGTTTAACGTTCCTCACATTACTCCAGAGAATATCTGATCTGAATGGATGGAGAGAGAACAGTCTTACATCAGGAGTAATGTTACTGCCAGCATCAACTTTCTCATCTGCCTCAGAATCCTGTGGACATGGATGAAATGTAACTGAGGAATTAAAACGAAACTTTCAAAAGGAGGCAACAAAAGGCATATGCACACAAAATCAGTTGATCTGGATATGAAGTAACATTATCCAGAGAGTAAGTGAAAGGAAGAGTAAAAGAGATAGTAAATAAGAAAAAGAGAGAGAGAGGGACCTGTCAATCATGACAACATGCTGACAGCCATGAAGAAAAATGAGATGAGATGATGAAGACTAAAGTTGTAAATAAATGTTTTGATATGAAAAAAGATAGAAGCATTGAAAAAATTATCGAATACACAAGTTAACAAATTAAAAATAGATTAATATTTACGTATATAAAGTAGACAACCACTATATGATTAAAAATAAATATAGTTTTTGGGTAACAGGTATGGGTAGTTCATGTCACATAATAGAAAAATATCCTGACAAATTTTCTGTGACAGTAAACTTTACTATGGGGATATAAAAATTTTGACAAGACAACAGACAGACAAATAAATCCTCCCACTTACAAATATATGGTGATGTGTTACCAAAACATTGTAATGAAAGAATGAAATACATACATTACTGCAGAAACAACTGTTGAGAAAGATAGTAATTAAAGTTATTTAATGACATCAGTGCTCTTATTAGATTTTTTTTATTTAAATTTGTTACTAAATTCATCATTGTTTTGATCAATATTTGTATTTTAAACTGAAATATTTGTTAAAAAATGTGTCTAAATTATTATGCACACTGCTATAAATATTTAATATAAAGAAAAGGCTACAGAAAAAAAAACCAAAGATACAAAAGCACTGAGAGTATGGTCAATGAAAAAGAGGCATTAGATAAAACAGCATTAAAGAAGTGGAAGAAATGAGATTTCTAATCAATTTCGTTTTATCAAAAATATAAAATGGTATGTAGCTATTCAGATCATTGGAAATTAAATTTAATTAAATTAAATTAAAATTAATAAATTTAATTTTGAAAAGAACAATTTTTTGTCGTGTTTAAAAAAATATTAAAGTCGAGATTTCAACAATGATGATGATTAAGGTAAAGACTGTGTAAATGATGATTGCGATAATGTATACATGCATGTGATACAAAGTGAGTGTTGTACTCATTTTATGTTGCTCTTATGTTAAGATCAGGAACTGCGCAAAGAAAAGTTTAATGCCAAGATTTATGAGTGCATGCATGCATGTATGTATGTATGTAGGTATGTATGCATGTATGTATGTATGTATGTATGTATGTATGTATGTATGTATGTATGTATGTATGTATGTGTGTATGTATGTATGTATGTACATGTGGATATATGTATGTGCATGTGCGTGCATGTAATAAATGGATGTGAAGATAACAGTACCAGAATGAACATTGGACTTTTTTTATATTTCAGCATTCTCATTGTATGTAGATGCACTTGAAATTATTTCTCCTTTTGATCCATTATTTTAAGAAGCTTAATTTGATAACACAAATTAGGCTGGCAAGATAACACAGAATAAAAAAAAACCAATTATATTTCATATTTTGTTTGGTAAAAATTGAAAAAAAAAATGTCTATCAATAAAAATACAACACAGACTACATGTTTTTTATTATCATTATTACAATTATATATATAATTTGTTCTAGAATATGCACTGATATCTTTTCCTTTGATGTGCAATTGAACTTTTGAACATAAGTGTTGGTTATGCACATATGTGCTGCCATTGTTTGGACTACAGATTGTATGTTATGGTTTGTTAGAAATGTTCAAAGCGTGTGTGTGTGTGTATGCAATAGTAACTGCAATGATATAATGTTGTGTGGTTACTTAGTCATAAGGAATCCATGTAAATTTTAATTCTTAAGCCACTGAAGTTTGACCAAAGAAAGTTTGGATGTGGATAATCAGAATGAGGAAAGAAAAAAAATGATCTGAGAGGATGATTTTCACTACTAAGTTCATCTCTTAAAATACATAACTCACTACATGATTACAACTAAAAAAAAAATAAATTTAAGAGACATGTATATAAAAAAGCAAATAAACAAACAAACAAAAGAACAAACAAACAAGCAAACGAATGAAGAACATAACCAATGAATGAACGAATGAATGAATGAATGAATAAAAAAGTGAATGAATGCATTAAAACCCCCACTTGTGATTCCTCCATCAGCTGATCACCAGCACATATCCACACATAACCAAACAGGACATCTCTCAATGTTACATTGTACAAGTAACTGCCCTCATCAACGTTGTTATCACTATTCAGGCTGCCATCAGCATGAACAACGTAGGCACTGAGTTGGAATGGGGTTGTTTCGTCGTGCTCCTTTAATGTTACACTCCACGTAGCTCCTGAAACTATCAGAACAATTAAATTTTGTATTTATTTCTATTAACAATAACATAAGTATCATTTTATTGCACTAGTCACAAGGAACAGCTTGGCTACAAATTAAATGCTGATTGATGAAGTTCAATGAAATTAAAAATCAATTCCAGATAAGATTATTTTAATAAGATTATCAAACTCAAACAAGTTTAAACGCTTTTAAATCAGTTTCAAAAGTTTAAAGAATCAAGAATGACAAACTGAATCAATTCATTGAACGCATCTAATCTCAGAAACTGCACATCCAGTGCTACACTAAATGAAAAGACATAATTCGTGTGTGTCCCTCTATGCTATGTAAAATGTAGCAGTATCTAAAAAAATAGAGCAAGTTTATATAGGAATTATCGTAATAACGTTAGGAGACATTTGAAAAGCTTTGTATAATGAAGCTACAGCAACTGGTTAAGATGATGAAGATGGAGAGAATATAATGCTGATGAAGTTTAATTTTAGGGAAATTGAAAAAAAAATGCCTGATGACATGCAATTTGTTGCAGATGGATAAACAAAACAAACTTATCACTAGTCTTCTCTGGTATCTTCTAATGTATTTAAAAGCATGCATACTTTTGATGCATGTAAACATGTTAAAGTATCATGAATGAAGCATAACAGAGCATAACAGAAGCATATAATACTGGCAAAATTAGAACACCTAAAACAAAATTCAATTAGTACAACTAACCAAATCTTTCCACGTGAGCTTTGTAAACTTCTTCAACCTTATGACCCTGTAGTTTGACCTCCACTGTAAGGTCATTGGAGGGCAGTGTAACATAACCCCACACTATTGATTTGTGTGGGGCTCTCTGTAGCACCATGTGGTCAGAAAAGTGACCGGCAAACTTCAAATCTTCATATGCTTTTGCTGTCGGTTTGAACATATGATGAATTATATCATTATTATCCCATACTTCTTATGCACATTTGAAAATTATTTGACAAAATTGATGCAAACACCAATTGTTTAGGCCATACAAAACAATAATTTTGCCACAAAGTGACCAACCATAAAAATTTTTATTGGCAACCAAGTCAAACAGACAAAAGGAATGAACAAATATATTTAATTCCATGAATTTCAACAACAAACAACTCCTGAACAGCTGATGATGAGAACAACAGCCACAACAACATAATATGCATGTAGGTGTGAATGGTAAAAGGTCATGACCCCTGTTATGTCCATAAGTTATCAAGTAACTCATACAAATGTAACATAAGTTAAACTTTAGAAGAAAAGTTCTGTTGTCAAATTCCTACTAAAAACACTACTGCTAGCAGCAAATTTGTGATAGATACATACAAATTTAGGTTCTTTTAAACCATCATACATAGAAATCCATCCATCAATGACTTTCACTACTACTTAAGAAAGTATTGAATCATAAATAAGATTACTAACTAAATAGTCAAAATGCATATTTTAAAAATTTCAATTAAAAAGGTGTGCCACTAAATGCCTAAAATATATTATACCCATATGCAAAATTCTAGCAAAAATAAAATGCACCAAGATGAAGAAAATACTAACAACAACAACAACAAAATGAAATGCGTTAACAACAGCAGCAATAACAACACCCTAGCAAGAAAAGAAAATAAAACATGCCACAGGCTTTGTTGGTTTATAATGAATGAAATTAATCAAGACAAATATTAAGACTAATGAGTAATAAATTAATCAATGATAGAACAGTGGCACACACATGTTTGGATAGTAACACACCTCAATGCTACCTACAACATACAAGTTTGTAGTTTGTTGTTACATCTGCACAGTAACATTTGTGTTTAAAATTTAAGCTATGTTTGGCTACATTCATGAGTCATTTAACATATAGGATATATATATATATATATATATATATATTTATATATATATATATATATGTAAAAGTATATATACACACGTGTGCGTATGTGTGAGTATGCGTATGTTCGCGCGTGCATGTTTGTGCGTATTAGTGTAGGTATGTTTCCAATGCTTTTAACATTTTTCCAGAGCAGTCACATGGCTGAGTAACCAAATTTATGTGTTGGTCTGTCTAAAATTTATTCACAATCATCATGGATGTTACAATCATCACCCTAATTCACTTCATTACCATCATCATCATCATCATCATTTGCATAATCGTTATCGTTATCATGACTAAGAAGTTCACAGCATTGGCTGAATGGATTTATGCGTTGAACATGTGCCCACAATTATTTCCTACAACCAACTTCAGCATCAGTATCCAATTTTTCTTCATAACTAGTATCATTATACATGATGTATATATATATATATATATATATATATATATATATATATATGATACACTTACAAACTTATATATTATACATGATATATATATATGATACACTTACAAACTTATATATTTTACATGATATATATCTTATCACAACCTTTACTACTTTAAAGTTAACCATTATTAAATGGTTGATAAATTTAATAATCTGATTCAGCAATAAATAATATAGAATGACAAATATAGTCTGAGAATTTACCATAAATTCAAAAATTTATTTTTGTGCCAACATACTTAACAAGTGCCCACTGATATAAAGTGCTTTCAGGTTCTTAATGAATGAATGTTGAAATTATATCATCACATCTCTAGTTAAAATACTAATAGGAATAGAAACGAACTCATTACTAATTATCAGTAGCATCTTAATAGTATTTCAACATTGGTTCTTAATTCCCAAAGCACATTTTATCAAAATTTGTGCTCTAGCAAATTATAAACAATATAGATAAACTATAAAATTTGAACTATTTAATTTTTACTTGGTTTCCTTAGAGCAAAAACAATGAACTTTAACAGTAGTATCATCAATCAATCTTCAAACATTGTGTACCAAATGAACATAAGAATCATTATTCACACTCTTGGCTGACTTTATGAACATGCTCTCATCAAACATGTCAATCATCATCATCTCCAGCACACTCCTACAGTAAACAAATGTTATAGAAAGAAAGTTTCTCTCTCTCCTTTTCAGAACCATCAGATGCAATTAGGATCAGTCATGTCATAATTCTAAATACAATATGAACATGCCATTTTGTTTTATTTTACATCCAAAATGTTGTTCAAAGACTTCATTATTGGAAAAGAAGAAAGTCTAAAAGTCTTCCTCTCTCTAGTATATTTATACTCTCCTATCAAAATCCAAAGTATGAATACAATCTAATTTCTAAAAGAAAAATTAAAAATAATGAAATCAAAATTTAAATGAAATAAAATAAGAAAAAAATTTGAAAGTAACAAAAAACTAACTTTCAAATCTACGGGCAAGGAAGGCAATTGAAGCAATGCCAATCAATATGATAAGAACAATCAGAGCAATGAACAGATATCGAACATCACATCGTTTCATTTTTAAGAATCCAACTTTTGTCGAATTCTCTGCACCACCACCATCACCGGCATTGTCCCCACCATCCAGCACTACAATCTTTTCCTTATCTTCCTCAGTCTGGTTCTCCCCATTGCCATTCATTAACGACATTTCAATGATGTCATGCTGCTTTTGATCAGAATCTCTAGTTTTGTTGCCGTGTGATGATGACAAGTTTTCTGCTGATGAATTTCCACTTCCTTTTTTCTGCTGCATGATCAACTGTGAGCTTTCCATCGTTGCAGCTGAATCGCCATTTTCCTTCACATTCTCCGCAAACACTGACTCTTGACCCATTTCGTAGGCGCAGGTACTGCCAGATTAAAAATCAAACTGTCAAGTTCGCTTTACTCTACTCTACCTCAATACAGCAGTCTACAAAAGTTTTGCACAGACAAGTAGCAAGAGTAAAAATTTTATTTTAAAAACAAAGAACTGGCTGTAAATTTTTTTCTGCCAAAAAAATTTACATCAACAAAATAAATTTCTTAAACTTTAAAATTATAACTAAAAACTTATTTCGTCAACTTTCTAAGACTAAAATAACAAACAAACCTGAGTAATTTAACGTAAAAACTAAAGCAAAAACAAGTACAAACAAGACCGCAAAAAGAACAATATCAACTAAAAGTGAACCGCGGTTCTAGAGACGCCGCATTTTATACAATGATGGGCTGTGCGTTTCTTGTGTGTGTGTGTGTGTGTGTGTTTCTTGTTCATATGCATGGGTGTGTGTGTGTGTGTTTGTTTGTGTGTTGTGTGTGTGTGTGTTTGTTTGTGTGTTGTGTGTGTGTGTGTGTTGTGTGTGTGTCTGTTGTTATTTGTAAATTTGTCTATGTGTGCATATGTTTGTGTGTTTGTGCGTGCTTGTTTTGTATGTTTGCGTGTTTACTGTGTGTTTCTTGTCTGAGTATTTATTTGTTTTTTTTTTAGTTATGCGTGCTTGTTTTGTTTGCTGATGTGTTAGCTGGTAATAAAGTGTTTGTGTATTTTTATTTATTTGTATCTGTGTGTGCTGCTCTACTAAATGTGTAGTGGTAGAGTTTGTGTAGTAGTAGAGTTTGTGTTTGGTTGTGTGTTAGTTTGAAGTTGTTTATGCGTATAAGTGCGCCTTTGTTCTTCTTTTCTGTGTACGTATAGATGCTTTTGTAGTTGATGATATGCGTTATGTGCGTGTCTGTACTGTTGTTTGTGAGTTTGTTTCTGCTTGCTTGTTGATGTGTGACTGTTTGTGTATGCGTAAATCAATTAACGTTGTTCTTAAGTTTTTTCTCTTTTTTTTGTTTATATATTTGTACATGTACTAACCAACCAAAATAGGTTTCAGTATTTTCGATTGTTGTATACAAAATTTCAATTTATTAAACATCTTATACAAAGAATTGTATTTTAATTGAATAACTTCTTGCGATTTGTTGAAACGCTGGAGAGCTTCTTCGCATCGCAGTGAGACACGCGCAACATCCACACAACATCTTCCAACGTACATATGAAAATTTTTAATTTGGGAGCAAGCCGTCAGTCAGTAATTCATCTAAATTATCAAATTTAATTGAAGTTATCATGTCAAACATATTATGATAAGCAAACTTGACTCGCACATTATTGAAAGAAACATCAGAAGCATAAATAACATAGGTTAAGATGTGCTGATTATGCGAAAAAGCTACAGCACCAAATTATTGCATTTGAAACTACGTTGTTCCCTGCGTTCGTTTTGTGTTCATGTGTGCGTGCGTTGTGTTTAGTTAGCATCAGTATGTGTTCATCTTTACGTTCATCTGCCTGCTTGTGTGTTTGTGAGTGCTCCCGTGGTTATGTCTTCGTTCATGTGTGTGTGTGTGTGTGTGTGTGTGTGTGTGTGTGTGTGCGTGTGTATTTGTTGTATTTGTGTGTCTGTGCTTTGTGATTCAGCAGTAAAGCAGTAATGAGAAGAAATGTTTTAACAAACTTTTCTTATAAATGTTTGTTATGCACGTCTTTGTAATTAGTTTCTTATCTTTATTTATTCGTCACTGTCGTCATCTTAATCACCATGATCGTCATTATCACCATTATAGTCGTGGTTATTTTTGTTGTCATCATCAACATTTGAATGGAGAATAGTTTTATAGAGAATGTTTTTACATAATATAATACTTGGAAAAACAAGGTAATAAGAATTTTTGAAATCTGAGTTGTCTCAGAAAAAAAAGTGTTGTAATTATATTTAAACTTGTCGTTGGTCGTTGTCGATGCGTAAAAGATGCTCGTTATTAATTGATCGCATTAACAAAACCATCAGAAAATTTAATGTGGTTAAGACGGTTTTGAATTTTTTAAATTTGTAAATTGAAATCATTTGAAAATATGTATTCAAATGAGTTGAAATTGAAGTCTACAAATGGTTTTGAAATCTTTGGTTAAATTATCTCATATAAACCATTTTTATAAATTATTCTGCAACATTGTACATTAAGTAGAAACTTTTTATGAAAATTTCATTTGAGTGCATTTTGTTATTAAAAATATAATAATCACCGAACGCATAAAAATCCTCAGCGTATTCCTTCAGCATGCTTCTTGCTATCCGTGGAATTGAAATCCAAAACAAACAGTGTGGATGCTCGTACCACGCTGAGATGAGGAGTAAGTAGAAAGATAGAAAGAGTGAAAGAGAAAGAGAGAGAAAGAGAGAGAGAGAGAGAGAGAGAGAGTGAGACAAGAAAAAATTTGATAGAAAGAAAGAATAGAAACGAACAGAAAAATGTAAAAATGTTTAATTGCGTGACTCATGAGAGATTTAAAAAATTAAAGTCACACAAGGCAGCTAGCTCTTTCAGAGAACTGTAGTTAAATAACTTCAAACATAAGTGAACGTGAATTATTTTATTAAGAAATGTTGAAATTTTATAGCATTCACCAAATGTTATACGTTAATTGAATTTCATTTTAATCATTTAGTTTTATTCGTTCATAAAGTTTTCAGAATTAATTCTAACTACAACCACAGGAGTAATTTAATGAAGCAAGGAACACCAGAAAAGAAATGCACGTACGTACACTTGGTTGGCATGAACTCTCAGCACATTAAACATAATGAATTAATTATCTTTATATTTTCCTCAACCATAAAAATTCACCGTGAAATTTAAAACTGCTTTTATGATGGTGATAATGATGATGAAAAAAACATGGTTGAAAGAAAGAAACAAACTGAGAGATGTACAAGTGTTTGAATGTTCCCAAAATAGAAAAACATCAAACGAGTCAGTTCCCAAAATATAGCGAGCAAGATCATTACAAAAATAAATTAAACTGACTAAACAGAATGAACAAAAATGAAACTTATAAAAACTTGAACGAAAAAGACTTGAAGATGATAGAAAGATAGATTTGAAATAAAAAACCCAACAGCGTTGAGACATCCAGAACATAAAAATAATTTTATGCTCATATGTGCTAGACCCCTGTGTTCATCGCAGCCATTAAAATCGCAGTTTTATTTCATTAAAACGTTGTAAAACTTTCAAGACATGCCAGCAACAAAAGCAAAAAAAGACACACACACACTCGCAAATACTAATGCATAGTATTCGATATATACATATATATGTATTTATGTATTTATGTTATTATTTTTATTTTATTTTCTTACTATTATTTTTTATTTTCATATTATTGTATACACGATATACATATATATATACATATAAGTATGATAAGTATGTGTGCAACTACACATAAATACCCTGACAAGCACACACACAAACAAAGGAACACACAGAAAGTTAAAAATTTGTGATTTACATATCATATATAAACATAAAATAATTGTGTAGCAAGCTGGTGATTTTTGTCATAAAGATAATAACATGCGTGGCGGGAAAAGTTTGCGTCACAAGAAACGACAACCGCGATGTGAGCACCAACTTTTTCAAATGTTACTATCAACATTTTCAACCGAAATGAAAATTAAATAAAATTTCATCAAATAAGTCGTCCTATTTTTGAGTCCATTGAAATTTTTCATAATCTTTCAAAAAATTTCATTTTATTGATTTTTTTGCATACATTTATTTGACTCAGGCCTTCTTTGGCTTGAGCCAATAATATATATTTATAAATAATATATATTTATTTGAGATTTGGCCCAAAATTCAAAGTTGTGACATTTCAAAAGTCGTTAAAGGATCATATAAATCTGTTGAACGCGATCAATTTGTGCGCTGAGGTTTAGGTTTGTCTGTGCACAACATAATTTATTCAAAGTCGAACGTTCGTTAACAACTTTCTCCAGCTGGCTGATCGCTGAAGTTGAAGGTTTTATATTCATTTGATTATCCATTAACGACAAATCTTTTTAAATCATGGCTTTTGTTTATGTAATTATGTGCTAACTTTATTTAGCTGTGGGTTCTTGATTTGTATTCTCATGTAAATACATTTAAAAATTATAATGTTGAAAAATCTAATTTAAAATTATTTGAAAAACTTTACACTGAAAATCTGACAGAGTTTGTTTAGTTTCACAAAGATTCAAACCAGATTACCAATTTTCCACTTTCTAATGTTTTAACATCTTGGCGTGTTTATATGAATATCAGCTTGAATATACAAAGTAGCCGACATATAGTTTTAAACAATACAATAACAATATGGACAAAGTAAACAAAAGTTCGATTAAGTCGCATCTTCAACAGAGTATACTCGAAAAGTGGACCAATGTATTTCATTGTATCTGTGAAGAGCATTATTAAAAGGACATAAAAATGTCTTGTAAAACTTAATGAAGCTCTTTGTTGCTGTTTGTTTGTTTGTATGTTACTTCTGGTTTTGTTTGTGATTGATTATGTCGTTAGTTTATTCTGACTACTCTCAAGTTATTCGATGGTTTTTCAAAACAAATAATTTTTTATGAAAAATAAGCAAAGACAAACAATAAAAGCAACAAATGCAATAGCAATGTTATTGTACGACAAAACAACGGCATTTATGTGCCAGCTAACAGATGGAGGACACCGTCAATAATATATTTAACAAAATATTCTGATGATGAAACTTTTGACTTAAAGGATTTGATTTAATATTTTGCATATGAGAACACGAACAATTTTGATTACCTAGTCATTATATTAGATTGCCATTTTGCATGTTGTAATTGTGAAAGATTATGCCTTTACTGGAGTCAGATTTTTTAGAAAATAAAGTAAAGTCAACGACGATCTGCCACACCTCATTTTATAATCATTAACAAAGTTAATTTAATTGTTAGATAATTAAATTGTATATTAATTAAAAACCTTGTATTCAGCAATTGTTTGAGAATTAATTGAAAATTAATTATTTCACATTTTATTAGCTTTGTAGGCTAACTAATTGTAAACTGACCACTGAACTAGTCTTCCCCAGTTAAACTGTCAGATTGATTGATTGATTTTATAGACAAATCTTTATACTTATTATATACCAATGGAATTTTTTAATATTTTTTTCACAAATTCATCATAAAAGATGTTTCCATATAGGGCCTTATATTCACAAAAACACCTGTCGAAAAATTTTATTTTCTATGCTAAGTCACATGAAATTTAGTAATACTTGGGCAATAATAAAAAATAACAAGACGTCTATTTAATTTTTGCCTAAATTTAGAACATATTTCTGCTTTTAAATTTTTGACGTTCACTTCACTTTTGTTGTTGCGTGATCTAATGTACTAAAATTTTTATATGCACTAATTAAAACATAATGTCTCTTCCAATTATTACTAATTAAGCCTGGTATTGGTTACTAATTTAATTAATAAAACTAGAAGTTAATAATTAAACTAGAATTAGACTTGGATTAGATTAGAAGTTAATGAGTTAATTTATTATTACTTATGATGATTTACTGTTAATCATAAGTAATAATAAATAATAACTAGTAAAGTAGGTGCTAACTAAATTTATGAATTAGTTATTAAAAAAGTTAAGAAATTAGAATAGAATAATAAGAATTAAACTAGAATTAGACTTGGATTAGATTAGAAGTTAATGAGTTAATTTATTATTACTTATGATGATTTACTGTTAATCATAAGTAATAATAAATAATAACTAGTAAAGTAGGTGCTAACTAAATTTATGAATTAGTTATTAAAAAAGTTGAGAAATTAGAATAGAATAATAATATTAGAATGGAATAGAAGATATAGTATCTATATATACTATATACTATACTATAAAAGAGAAATAGAAACAGGAATAGCAGATAATCTGATAAATAATTATAATTTATTTATTTTATATTTTATTTTTATAAAACTAACCTTAATTAATTAATAAAAGCTGCTTAAAAAACTTTGTAACTGGTTTTTGAGTTTTAACTTTTCTCATAAATAAATTTCCAAAATGACCACTGTCACCAACAAGAGAAAAGATTCAGCAGCCGTAATGAAGCCAGCTGACAATGGTCATCTTGATGGTTGGTTCTTTTTCATTTTTTTTCTTTTGTTTAATTTAATTTATTTTAGATTGCCCAAAATGTTTACAAATTATTATTATTAGCCAATTAAATTTTTTATTAGATTTTAAAATTAAATTTGAATCATATACTATTAATAATTATTTACTTGGTTTATTAACTCATTAGTATTGTTTTTGCTGTAGTATATTAAATAGATTACACCAACACAAAATTAATTATTGAAAAATATTTTCGAGTGTCATGCTTATCTTGAATAAAATCTTATAAAGCAGTCTTGAATGATCAGTAAGTAAATAATTAATAAAAAGACAATAAATAATTATTGTTAAGAAATGGTAATGTCAATGGTTGAGACCGCAAATGACAAAAGTCCTTCGGTGAGAAAATCAGTTGAGTCATCTCTGGTGAACGTTGGCAAATCACATTGCAATCTTGTCGTCTCGTACTGCAACCTTTATCTTGTCAAAAATCCTAAGGTAATGTTTGTGCATGATTTTGGTTTTCCATTTTTTATTTGTAAAATCCATCATTTATACATTGTTTTATTTATCTATTTGTTTTGTTTGTAGTGGATAATATTAACTTTGTAACGTATGAGTGACAGAAAATTTTTGATTGGATTTACTGTGATCTATTTGAGTTATCATATTCTGTTTTTGTTCATCGATAACATAGAACCAATGGCCAATCAATGTGTTTGTAGATGCCACAGGTGCACAAGTCAATTTTGTTGAATGTGATGTTGAAAGTGTTGAAGGATAATGTTGACAACATTTCTGAGGATGTTGTACGTGATGTCATTAAACAATCCTTTGCTGAAATGATTCAGAACAAAGTAAGCAGCTCTGATTCTTCAATACTTCTTATAACCAAATGAATTATATTTTGCTAAGTTTGTTCTTCATTAGCTTCCATAAATAATTTAAAAAATATAACAATGCAAGTGAAAGTAGACCAGATTTTCACAAATTCTAAAAACGAAAAATCATATAATAGATGAACGTATATTTATATTATTAACATCACTCACATGTGTCTTTATGATTGTTATCTGGTGAATAAATTGATGAATACAAAGTTGAGTTGACTGAGTAAAAATGAGAGACAATGATTGCATGAAAACACTAGGAAATAGGTTATGAGGACCAGACAAACCTGTCAAGTGACATAGTGGTGTTGCTGGGTAGCAGGTTCTGCCATGAAGTCATGACGGAATTGTTGGAGAAGTTCCAACCAAACACAGTGCCTCACTTCTTTGTCGTCCAAACTCTTTCTAATTTGTCTCTCGTTAATGGTTTGGAATTTTGTCGTGGGTGCATTTTCGCTTTGTTTGCTTTCTTAGTGGTATTAATTTTACTTTTGCACTTTAAACTAGTTAAAAATGTTGTTCAGCTACAAAATAATATTGTTCTAGCTTTTATTTCTCACCAGTTGCATATTTTAAGTAATTGATTAGAATTGTGTAAATATGAGGCTGCTTGGTTTCGTATCAATAATCAATTGAATTACTTTGGTTCTCACATGCTGATTGAATGCAGTGTATGGCATGGTTCCGTCTTATATGAAGGCTTGCTTGGGAGCCTGTCTGCCAATGCTCCTCATGACCAAGAGTGACAACATGAAGTTTATATTCACTAAAAGTGATTAATTTGATTGTCATTTTCGTATGATTTTCACAAATTCGTTCGTTCGTTCATTCAATCACCGATTCGTTAATTTATTCATTCATTTGTTTGTTTTTCATTTCTTCATTCATCTATCCATCGATTGATCCATCCTACTGTCCATTCATTCATTCATTCATTCATTCATTCATTCATTCATTCATTCATTCATTCATTCATTCATTCATTCATTCATTCATTCATTCATTCATTCATTCATTCACTCACTCACTCACTCACTCACTCACTCACTCACTCACTCACTCACTCACTCACTCACTCACTCACTCACTCACTCACTCACTCACTCACTCACTCACTCACTCACTCACTCACTCACTCACTCACTCACTCACTCACTCACTCACTCACTCACTCACTCACTCACTCACTCACTCACTCACTCACTCACTCACTCACTCACTCACTCACTCACTCACTCACTCACTCACTCACTCACTCACTCACTCACTCACTCATTCATTCATTCATTCATTCATTCCCTCCACCATAGTGTTGTCATCATTCAGCGAAGCCATAGTCGACTATATGGCAAACATCGAGTCGGCACCAGACCAGAATGTTAAGAAAGAGTTTTTTAGTACGGAAGTGTGGACTGCCTGGGAGCACCTCTTCGACAACTGGCTGTCTAACAAGGACCTCAAGGTTTGGGTCTGTTGGCATGTTTGTTTGTTTGTTGGTGTGTTTGTTTGTTGGTGTGTTTGTTTGTTGGTGTGTTTGTTTGTTGGTGTGTTTGTTTGTTGGTGTGTTTGTTTGTTGGTGCGTTTGTTTGTTGGTGTGTTTGTTTGTTGGTGTGTTTCTTTTGTTGGTGTGTGTGTGTTGTGTTTATCTGTGTACATGTGTTGTTTTTTAGCAAGCTTTTTTGTCTGGGCTTGAATGTAAGAATTTGTTTTTAATTAAGTGTACATTTTTATTTATTCTGTACTTTTTGTGGTATTTTTTTGTGAACTGATAAACATTTGACTATGTTTCATCTGTCAGATATATTATTTTTTAAAGTGACTTTACTTTTATGGATTTCATTTCAAAAATAAAACAACCTTTGTTTTTATTAGCTAACATCAATTCATTGTCTGTTACAATCTATATAACTTGCTGAACAGGTTAAAGGTCAGGTGGTTGAATGTTTGGGTCGAATGTCAAACATCTTGGCATCGACGAAACTCAATGAGTGTCTGCAGAAGTTCATTCCTGCTGTCTGCAGCATCCTCAAGAAACAACATTATTGTCAGCTTGTTACTGAGGTTGGTGTTTATGATGTGATGCTGTGATGATGGTATTATCACCATGTGACGATGGTGATAGTTGTAATGGTGGCTGTAAGTATCATCACCATGTGATGATGGTGATAGTTGTAATGGTGGCTGTAAGTTGCATTGATGACTGCATGATGATGAATGCTAGATTTGGCGACATTGCATGGAATGTTCCACAATGCTTCAAAACAGTTCTAATTTACAAAAAGGGCTAAAATTTTATTTCTTTAATAGAATAGAATAGAATAAATTGGCATTGCAAGCACTGCCTTTTGCCACCATAATGTAAACAGATTTTTAGGAATAAATAATTCAAATAGTTGAAATATTTGGTTGAAAATTTTCAGTTTAAGTTTGCATCTTTTGGTTTGACGTCTTTACTTTCATGACGAATGGGACACCAGGGTCTGCACCACATGTTGGAAGCTGCAGTGGCGACAGATTGCATGGCGGTCGACCCCTACCTGGACAACATCCTCAATTCATTGTTCCTTCAATCTCAGTGGCCCATCAATCTCACGTCTACCACTTCTGTTAAGAACCACAACCAGTCACTCAGATGCTTCTCACTGTTGGGTGGGTATGGATTGAAAAATAAATATCTAAATAAATAAACATCGTCACGACACACACACACACCACACACGCATGCACACGCGCACACATATACATTAAAACACGCCACTACTAAACACATACACATACACTCATACACACACACACACACACACACACACACAACACACACACACACGCATAGCCAAGTACTTTCCAGAGAGAGTGGTGAACTTCATCATGGCAAAGTTGGACCCGGTGAATGAGGCATCACGCATCACGTGCCTCAACATCATTCAACATCTGGTTAATTATACTGGTATGATGCTTGCTTATCTACTGCCTGCTTACTCGTCTGTTGCTTGCTTGGAAATATTAATTTTTCTTTATTTTCAAAGATTATATTCCGCAAGGTGTTTATTTTTAATCTAGTTTTTGTTGTTAGATGTAAGTTGATTTGTTATATTTTCGTTGATAAATGTGTTATTGCTGAATAACGTGTTACAATTTTTAGGGGAGAGCTTACGGGATAAAGAGAAACAACTTTTATCTGGATTGAAGATGATCATTAACGACCCTAGTAACAAAGTGAGTGTGATGAACTGACCATGTTATTCGCTGTGTTATTGACGATGTAATTGTAATAATGTTTCCTATGAGAGTTCCGATATAATCCACTTTTGCATTTTATTAATTTCAATTTTATAGTAAACTTTGGCAATAAATTGTTCAGAATACTTCAGTTGAACTTTAATAGTGAACCCTCATCTTTCGACAGGTGCGTCGGTCGCTGGCGGAAACATTAGTGAAGATATCACATCATGGTTACTTGGAGCTGGAAGGAGGGAAATCATTTGTGGAGTTTGTCCTCAAACAATGTCTCTTGAATGACGAGGTGCTGGGTGGGTGGGGATGTCGTGGCCTGGTGACATTCTTTGGGGATGTTCTCGTGATTGAGATGTTGTTGTTGTTGTCGTTGTTGTCAAATGTGTTGTTGCTGAAAGTATTGCTTGTGTTGTAAATATGTTGTTCCTCTTGCTAATTTTGAGCACTTTTTGGTTGTTGAAACTGGAAATTCGTGCATCTTTGTCATTCTATTTAGACAATTGTAACCATTATTTCTTGATTTTTTAGGTTATTTTTTTTTATAAATTTTTTTTGAAAAAAGCTATAAATTATTGAGATTTCAAATTTCTCTACGTCTACTGACTCACTTATCACCATTACCAGTCAGTAACGGGCAGCACTCAGAAGAAGCAGCAGCAGCAACAAGCAGTCGATCAAAACTTCGTCACAAACAACATGCTGAGAATGTTCTGTGAAAATGTTCTTCATCTTTTGGCCACAACTGTACAGAACACAAACAACGTTGGATATGTTTTTATTTGGTCAAATTTCCTTTTTTTTTTGTTAAGATAGCAGTTTTAACTAATGATGCTTTTTACGTTGTTAATGTGTTGAAAAGAATACTTTTTTGTAAGACAATCACAATCTTCTTTTTTATTGCAAAGATTATGAGTGGCATAGGGCATGTGAGATAATGTAACAATATATCTTGTCATAGTTTACACAGATTTAATTTTGGGAAATTATTTTTTATAGTTACTAATTAAAATGTAATTGACATCCTTAAATAAATTTCTCCATTTGAAATGCAAGCAATGGCGAAAGAAGATTTTGATTATTATTCTATTGAATTATTTGAATATAGAATCTGATATAAACTTTTTGAATCCAACGCTAATATAGATCTCATATTTACTGTTGCATGAAACATGAAAAACAAGTTTTTATTTCAATTTTTAATTTTTATAAATGTATCTTATCTTTGCCTAATTTTTTTATTGTTTAATTTTCTGTAGGCTCTGTGGCCGTATTTATTTGAGTTTCTCATCCAATCAAATTACACCAACGCATGTGGCGTCGTTTGTAAAACTATCTCATCGCTGGCCAATAAGAAGCTAGAGAATGGTGATCCTGACTATTACATTGATTTCGATAGGGAAGTCTCCGTACCCAAGCCTGAGGCTATCTTCGTTCGCTTGTTTGTAAGTGTTGATGTCGTGTAATTGTTTATTGTGATGACGTTAATGTGATGATGTTAATGTGAGGTGGTGGTGATGTAATATGATGTTGATGTGATGATTATCTGAGTCATTAACATCTTTTCCACCACCAGCACCACTATCATTCATCATTATTTAAATTTAGGTTTTGCTTGGTCATCCGAAGCATGGATACAAAAGAGGAGTGTACGTGCTGCAAGCCCTCATATCTCTATCCAAACTCTTCCATCCGTGTCTCGAGGACCTATGGAAGAAGAGTTTCTCAAACATGGCAAAGATTCTTGAAGGTCAACTACTGCTTTTATTGATGTTGTTGTTGATGCCATTGATGTCAATAATCTTGTGGATTTGTTAATGTTGTTGATGTTTTTGGTTATTTTGTTGAATTTGTTGTTCTTTTTTCATATTTCATATTTCTTTCATCGTTTTTTTACATCTTCTGTCTGTCATTGCATGATTTGTAACTTTTTGATTTAGTTGGTTTATGATTGGTGGCGTCTCGATTGATTCTTCAGCTTATTGCTGGTCGCACGCATGCTAGCTGACGTGGTTTATTGGCCAAAAAGAGCATTTCATTATAATTTTGTTAATTGTTCATAACGTTTTTTATACATCAACTAACTGATCGACACTTAAGATGATGATAGTGATGACAAAAAGTGGGACCAAACGAAGTGGGAGGCCGCTCTTATAAATGTTAGTGTCGTCGTCGTTATCATTGTTGTCACTTTTCATCATCACTATGATCGTTACGGTCATCATAGTGGTCATCATCATTACAGTCATCATCGTGGTCATTATCGTTATGGTCAACGTTCAGATCCTACGCGCAACGATTGATGAGATCAAGAGGGAAAGCTGGACGAGCAGGTGCGGGCGTGAGATGCTGCAACAGATCAGCCTCTACTCATCATCACCATTAGAGAAGGTACTCTTACAGGATATTGATTTTGTTGTACAAATCATATTGCCTTACGTGATGTTGTTGTTGTGGCTATTTATTAGTATTGTTGTTTAAAAGTTTGTATTTATAAAAAGTGTTGCGTGCTTTGGTCTTGAATTATGTTGTTGTTTTGTTGTTAAGTTTGTCGTTGTTTCGTAAGAGTGTTTTTGTACACCACTTTCAACCAGGCCTTCCTGTTCAAGTGCATTGGAATTGCCATCAGCAAGATACCCGTCAAGAAGAACATCTTCATAGTTCCAGTTCTGGAGAAGAAGGGCGGCAGCATTCGCGGCAGTGAAAAGGACAGGGACCTGAGCATGGCGGAGGACAACCAGAACATGATGAACAAGGAGTTTGTGTGCACGTGCATCGATGCTCTCTTCAATAACACCAACCATGAGATCGCCGACGAGAGAGAGGTTGCTGATTGATCTTTCTAATTTTGTTGTTGATGTTGTTGTTGTCTGTGTTTTCACTGTTGTCTGCTGACCTGACCACGATTGTTGATGTCTTTGATGATATTGTTAAGTTGTTGATGTCTTTGATGATATTGCTAAGTTGTTGATGTCTTTGATGATATTGCTAAGTTGTTGATGTCTGGATTCTGTTTGTTTAGGGTGTCTTACAAATAAGTTGTGTGATGTAAGAATGTGGTGTCTAATGATTGCTACCTGAACAACGAATATGGTGTCTCTTACACATATAGCAGCGCTAGCAACACGAAACGAACTCGTGTAGACAACTGGCGCACCTACAAACAACACATTCATTCAGGCATGCGCGCAAGCTATCGGATTGGCATCGTCACCATCGTTATCTTTACCGCTGCCATCATCGACATCATCGCCGCTGTCATCGCCACCATCGAAGTCACCACCACCAGCAGCACCAACACCATCACCAACAACATCCCCATCAATGCCACCTCCCCCTCCAACGCCTCCATCGTCCAATGTTGACGTCATCTTTGAGAAACTGGAGAGCATTTTGAGATCGAAGAAGACATCTTCCTTCATTACTTTCATCAAGGTGCTGGTGGTGGTTCGTCGTTTTGCTGAAATGATTTGTTGCTGGCGTTATTAATACTGCAATTGTCGTTGAGAATCTATCGCAACATACTCTGGCTGATGTTGTTTGTCATCCTTAGTGACATTAGCATTATTATTATAACAACTTTTTTATCTGTCTAACAAACATATCACGAACATATAAACGAACGCACAAACAAACAAGCACACAAACAAACAAATTAGGAAGCGGTGGGTGAGTTTGATGAGAAGTTCAAATCAACAATCTGCCTGTGCTATGGCTACATTGCGTTGTACGTTCCACCACAGATGCTACAGTCCTGTCTGGACTTTTATATACTGGCTCACATCAACCATTACAATGTCTCTAATATCAAGGTTGGTTGGCTGGTTTGTTTTATAGCGAGTGGTTTATATATCGCGATTAATGAAGTAATTTCATCATCTCAGCCAACGTAATCTTTTCCAGGATCCAGCCTTAAAAGTGAGCATCATTAGGAGCATTGAACTTGTCTGTCGATCCATACATTCCAAGAACTCCTCACATGCCATTAAAGGGTTGATCCTGAACTCCAGAGATGTGATGTTGAATGGGATCAAGGTGGAACGTTGTGAGGGGGGAGGGATTGGCATGCTTTCATGATCATTCATCATTGTGTCATCATCACGTTATCATGGTCATTATTTCCATTGCAAGAGTATTTTGTTTTCCACACCAACAGAATCTGATGAAGCAGGAAAGCCAGACGTCCCTGCCGAATGACTTCCGAACTCAAATAACGACCACATGTTCTGCTCTTGTGTTCGTTACTTTTTTGATTTGGCTCAAGTTGAAATGTTTTTGTTAGCGTTGTAGACGGGATGATGTGTTGTTAGGATGAAGAGTAGATGCCATACCAGTCTGAAAATGTCGAAGATAATTAATTAATTTATTTAGTTATTCATTTATTGAGTCTTAATCGATATTACATTTGCACTTGGGATATTTTTTTATCACATCAGATCATTTGTTTATTCATTTGTTCTTTTGTTCATTCATTTATCCACTTGTCCATTTTTTCAATAGTTTATTTGTTTGTTTGAATGGATTTAGTTTTATATTGTGCAGTTATGATAAACGAACGCACATCCCCTTACAGCTAATCTTCAGAGTTACCGGGGCTGTGTTTATACACGGTGTTCGTTCATTAATTCATTTGTTAATTGATTGAAACATCACTTTTTCAAGTATTCATCCGACTACTCGTCCTTTAACTTATTCACGATAACATCCAGCAAACTGGATCCACCTTTGAAGTCGTCAGATGTCCACGAAATCTTCTCCATCTTCGCATCTCGCATTATCACCCTCCCTCCAGATCTTCCTCCATCTTCCTCCTCCTCCTCTTCATCTCCATCACCGTCATCATCACCATCGATCTCATCAGAGGAGCAGACGACATATCAGAGTCTCTTACAAAAGTGCAATGTGGCTCTCGTTAAGTTGGCAACTGTCTTCGTGGAACGTGATCCGTCACCAGGCGTCTTTTCCGCTATCTTCCAGGTCACCTCCCAGTTTTCATGTCTCAATTAATTATTTACTTTTTCAAATTCTCGTTCTATTGAAAGATTAGGCTCTTCTATGACGTTTAATTATATATGCGGTTGAACGACAGAGCACTGAAATATTACACTGTCTACAAAGCAATTACTCTTTTCATACAAACATCCATGCAACAATTTCATGTAGAATGAAATTTTATTTTACTGAGAAATTATTACTAAGCTAGTAGCTTAAGTCCTTCATATATGATCTGTTGGTATTCTTTATATTAATACGTTCTCAAGCAGTATTATGTTAGTCTGCTGAATCAACCTGCATGAATGAAAAATCTATATAACGTTTTGAATTTCACCGAGTTAATGCAATAGTCTTTCATAGTAGACAGGTTTTGCTCTCATTCCAAAGAGTTTCACGTGCTAGAATGTTTTTAATAATTTTAAATCTCTAGATCTTGCAACCCCTCCTGATATCAGCTCAAGAATTTGAAAGACTGAGAGCCTTAACAATGCTGTACAATGTCGTTGTTATATATCTAAAGAAAATTAATAACTCGCTGGTTAGTTTTTTTTGTCGAATGATAATTTTTGTTTTTGTTATTTTGATTTTTATCAGCGAAACCGTGTTTGTGTCTGTTTTGCCACGATTAATAAACTATGTAATAAATATCAATGCTTACCATTACGTAAATGATTTTTCGTCATTTGGAATTCTTTTATATGAGCATAGACTTTAGGTTTTTTATTATTTAGTTTTTTTTTCTATTTCAGGTCAACAAAATAGGGAACCTGGGTCAGGTGGTAGGCTTCATAGTGCCCAGGTGTGCAGATCAATCAGTGCAGGTGAGAATGATTGCTGCCAACTGCTTGCACAAATTGCTTTCTGTTGGGCTAAGATACGAAGGTCAGAGGTCATGTTTGTTTGTTGGTTGGTCGTTGGTGGCGAGATGGTTTTTTGTTCTTGATTTTGTTTTTAACGTGACGAAGTTGTGTGGTCGGTGGGGGATGTTGCGTGGTTGAATGTAGTGCAATGTTAGTCTCGGGAAAGACGGTGGACAGTTTTTTTCTTTTTTGTGACGATACAGTATGAATGTTTTGTTGTCACGCTCAATTATTCCAACTTCTAAGCCTAATATTTTCCGGTTTGTTTTGGTATAATGTTCAACTTAAAAAAAAGATAATTCATTAACTTCTTTTCAAAATGATGTCATCAATAGAAGAATTATCGCAATTTATAATTTGGTTTAAAAAAAACCGTCGTAGATTATTTTGTCCATGTTTTTGATACCAGGAAGATCAGCAGACTTCCGAGACGAGAATGTTGACAAGATGGAGACCATAAAGCAACATCTGTGCGACAACAACGTCCTCAACAATCCCGACGCCATGCTGTATTACGTTAATCAGCTGGCCGAGGTTGTTGCAGATGTTGCTGTTGATGTTTTTGCTGTAGATGTTGATGTTACTGCAGTTGCTGTTGATGTTGTTGCTGTAGACGATGTTGCAGTTGTTGTCGGGGATTTATAATAAGGAAGTTGCCATTTTTGCGAAACCGCACCGCGCTCCCACCATAACTTATTCATCATGATCGTTGTAGCTCTTGCTCGCTGACACCATCATTACATCGTGACAATTTTAATTTCAGGTGTTGAACTTTCGAGTTGGGTTCGACCACCTGTTGTTGTACATAGAAACGCTGATAAGCAGTCTGTTGGACCTACAACCACAGTCCTCTTCTGCTGTCAGCATCATACTGGCATGTTGCATCAAATCCAGGGGCATGGAGCTGCAGGGCGTGGTCTGTTTTCCATTTGTTACGTCATCTTTTTCATTTTTTTCATTTGTTACTTCATCTTTCTTATTTCAATTCCAGTAATTTTTTATGATGATTTATTCAAAAAGTGGATCTATTCATCACATCGCGTGTGCAAATTTGAAACTTTAACTGTTGCAGGTTGACAAAATCTACCATACTTTGCACAACACTCTGCCCTTCATCACCCACCCTCAAACGAGAACTGGTGCACTGAGAGTCATCAGGGCGTTGACCTCCCATCACCTCGTCAAGGTCATCACACTTCTCCTTGACGAAACTTATCCGTTGGTTGGGTTTGTAAAAAAGACATTTATAAGTTTCATTTTATATCTAGTATCTACATTAAACGTTCTTCCATTTTTATCATAAGCATAACGCCGTGCTTTTTAAATTTGATTTAGACATTTTCTTTCAACATAAGCCATGCCGTGTACATTTTAAATGTGGTTAAAAATTTTTAAAGATTCGTTTGATATTTTTTTAGCATGACGAGCGAGATCTGGCAGGACCTGGGGCACGACCCTCAGCTATCCCTCTCCCTGGTGGACAACCTCTTCGAGACACTATCCAGGTCCACTCCATACGAAGAAGTTGTGGAAGTGAGGGGCAGGAACAAATCGTACAGAAGAGCTACTGTTCTGCCGTTGGCTGTAAGTTCATGCTGTTTTGCTGACTGTTTGTCGGTTGTTGTTGCTTCGTGAGTTGTTTTCATAGTTAAGAGAACTATGGGGTTGTTGATCGGTCGTTTGCTTAGCAGGTTGGTTATCTATCATGATTGAGAGCTAAAAACTGTTTGTCGTTTTTTTAAATCTATTTGCTTTGCCTCGTGTGACAGACTTCGAATTAACCTGTCAAGACTGTAGAGACATAATTTGTATATTCTTATATAAACATAATTTTTATCAATTATATTAGTCAAAATTGTTGAAATTTTAATATATGTTTCAAAAAATTATTCAACGGTTAAACAATTGTTTCAATTATTCACAACTCGCAAACAACATAAACTGCCTAGGCCATATTAGCACTGACAGACATAATGAAAGCACCAGAAAGCAACTTCGTTGTCATGCAGAACTACGGAAAGTTGATTGTCTTGTTGATGTCTTATGTGGCGTCTATGTGTGAGACCAGTCTGCCTAAAATCGATAAAAAGGTTGTCTTTTTATCATTTGGTGTGGTGTTTCCCTGGTGGCGATGTTTATGGTGTAATATTTGTTTGAATTTTTTTATTCATATTTTAGAAATCGTCCCAGAACAAGTCTCAGCGAGTGTCGCCGGGTTCTTCTTCAACATCACCGACCACGATATCGGTGCAGGCACTGAGACAACTTGTGACGGCCTCGCAACAGCAGAGATTCATCGAGCAGCTGGAAAATGAGAAGGTGTGGGAGATCTTACTAATGGATAAGCAGGAGAGATTGTTGGAGGGCTTCACCATATTTGCCAGGTTCTCATCATTGCAATCTTCATCACCATCTTTACATTTTCATCGTCATCTTTTAAATGGTCTACATCAGTCTCCAATGCAGCTGCGTCACTCCCACATTACCATCACCATTGTCATGATCGTCATCATCGTCTCCAGCATCATCGTCGTCATCATAATTACCATCGCATCAGATGCCTCGCAGATCACGATCCAATGATGATTTCAAAGTTGGCGGGCAATCTGAACAGTTTGCTATCAAGTGCCTACACCATGCAGAGGATCATGGTGGCTGTCATCTTCGCTGAGGTAGGTCATCGTCGTTATGTTGTTGTTGTGGTTGTTGTTGCTGTTATTTGTGGTCGTTGTTGTTGATATTATCTGTTGTTGTTCATCGATTGTAAAGATGTTCAAAGAGTCTGTGTGTTTTTTGGCTGTTGCAGTTTTGCTGTCTCTTGCATTGCTGTCATTAATGTTATGTAGATGGCAGGAACATTACTGTCATATGTCACCATAATCAACGTGTTTGTTATCTTCAACGTGATCACCACGTTCCATCCTCACCAACATGCCTTCGTTATAGTTCATCAACAAACGTTGCGGAGAGGACAGCGGTGCGGTGGATGTCCTAGTGGGCAGCTTGTTGAACAGGCTGGCGGACAACGATTCAGTCGTTAGAAGAATGTGCATCAGAGGTCTTGGTAATCTGGCGAGCAATGGAAAGCCCGTGGTGAGTTTGCTGGCTGGTTAGTCGGTGTGCATGCGAGCGTGTGCACGGGCGTGTGCATGTATCTATATTAACATGTTGTTAGTTTACGGCATGTGTTACTAGTTATAATGCAACGCATTCGTTCATACTCACATTCCATCCAAGACATGCAAGCACGCCAACTGATCTGACACACAAACCAGGTCCAGAAGCACAGTGCCTCCATTCTAACAGCGCTCATGGCTGGGACGGACGACAAGGATGATGTTGATGACGTCATCGCTCTTGAAGCCATGACGTCACTGCTCAAGCTGGTCTCCATGTTGTCCCTTTCCAATGTGAATGATGTCGTCATCAAGATGGCTCTCAGGATCAGGCCCTGGTTTGATAAAGTGGGTATTTGTTCGTGATCACGTCCAATACACAACAACAACAACAACAACGATAATACCGACAACAGAAAAAACATTAGCGACAACAAAACTTCTAACAAAAAACTTTTAAGTTTTTACAATCCATATCTCTCTCGAATCCATAATTAGCAGATTAAAAATATTAATGAGATTAAGATTCAGTACACGCACCGACTTGCTTAACGCATTTTGCGAACTGACCTCTCTATTTAGGACAACGCCGACATCCGTGAAACCTCGTTGAAGCTGTTTGGTGACCTGTCCACGTTCGCACTGAAGGAGAACAAGGAACAGTTCGTCGAGCAGGTGCATTCAAACATCGTGTCCATCCTCTTACACCTTAATGATGAGGAGCCTAGGGTTCTCCAGGTTAGGTCAACTGATGGTGCCACGATGATGGTGATGGTTGTTTTGGAGTTGATTATGATGATGATCGCGAGCGTGATGATGGTTTCAGTGCTGAGTTGAATGTAAAAAACAGTTTCGATCGTAATTATGACGCTAAAGATCATTATGTAACCTTTAAAACACGAGATGATCATTGGAACCACCATCGTCATCCTCACCATCATCCTCTTCATCATTCTCGTCATCATCTCCATCCTCATCCTCATCTCCATCTTCCTCCTCTTCATCATTTCCATCCTCATCTTCTTCCTCTTCTCCATCTTCCTCCTCTTCAACATCTCCATCCTCCTTTTCTTTTTTTCATCCTCATCATCTTCATCCTCCTCAACACGCACAGGCCAGCAAGAAATGTCTCCGAAAGCTAGGTACCCTACTGGACGCCGCTGAAATCAATGAAATGTTTCAGAAGCACCTGATAGATGACGCTGCCCTCAAGTACTCTCTCTTCATGAACGATCTCTCCAAATTAATTGTAAGAGAGAGAGAGAGAAAGAGAGAGAGTCAGATGAGTTTTAATTTACCACCTGTGTAATGAGGCCCCTATTTACTAGATTTTTTTCTCTTTGATTATACTCATGTTCTTCCTTAGTTAGGCATTTGTTCGGTTGTATCTTTTGCTATTCGGTGTTTGATCACTCACTCACTCACTCACTCACTCACTCACTCACTCACTCACTCACTCACTCACTCACTCACTCACTCACTCACTCAGGTTAGAAACCTTCCAGATAAGGTTGCATACTACAGCATGGGACTGCTGACTTACTTCAAGTGCCACAACAATCGCCTGAGAAGCAATGCGGCCATTTTCATTGGTAAGCGTTTTTGCTGTTGTGTGTTGTTGTTGTTGCTATGTTGTGTTTGTTGGTTGTCGTTGCTATGTTATGTTTGTTGGTTGTGTGTTGTTGGTTGTGTCATGTTGTGTCTTGTTGTGTGTTGTTGTTGCTGTGTTGTGTTTTTTGCGTTGTTGATTGTTGTTGGGTATTGTGGTCAATGTGTTGTGTTTGTTGTGTTGTTGTTGTGTTGTTGTTATACTGTGTCCGTTTGCGATTTTTGTCACGAAAGTTGATGTTGATGTTTTCATCTTTCACCATCTTGATTTTTTAGTTATATTTTCACCACTCCAACGTTTCAAAAGGTTGTTTGGTGGGCAATTATTCGAAAATAGAAGCGGGAAATTCCAAAAAAGTTGGCGGCGCTGAATGTGTTGAGAATGGGAATGTCGACAGGGCTGTCGATGGTGTCGCTGGTGTTGATGGCGTCTGCACGGATGACACCAACGTCACGTCAGTCATCAATAAGGACCAAGTCTGCAGAGGTAGTTTGCCGCTACTTTTCGGCGTTACTATGTTCCGCTTATGCGCATGCGTTTGTGTGTGTGTTTCACTGTGTCTTGTTATGTTATGTTGGTATGCTATTATACTCTTATGAATTATCTTTTACAAAATCTTGACCATAAATTGTTGTAGTTTGGGCGGTGAGGTTATTGATGACAACTTGTCTCATGTTGCTGTCTCATGTTGCAGTCTCATGCTGCAGTGACCGTGTTCAAATTCATTGAGATCCTGACTAATCATACACAGAAATGTGTGTACCGTGTTGATTCACGCCTATTCACGTACGCTGTGTTTGCGTGGGCCATTGGTACTTCTGTGCGTATTAGAAGTCTGTCTTCATCGCCAAGGCCCTTAATATTTTGCTTTCATGTTTTCAAATTGTTTTTTATATTTTATCTTAACTTTTCATATTTTTGTAAAACAGATTAATTGAAAAATTAACTTTTTACATGTTGGCAGCACTGATGCTGTTGTTGAAAGATGAGGACGCTGAGGTGAGGAGTTCAGCCGTTGAAGCCATCAGCTGTTTGTTTGCAGCTTTTTGATTTGTCGTTTGTATGATGGCGATGACGTTGTGGTAGTTGAGGAAGTTGTGGTAGTGTGGTAGTTGTGGTATTGTTGTTGTTGTGTTTCAACCATGTGCCTTCTTGTTCGATTCGTTATGTACGTATGTGGATATGTAAGTATGTCTGTATGTAGTTCATACGTGTGTTTGTCTCTTTGCTTGCTTCGAACGCTTGGCTGGTGGCTTGTCCATCTAGTTTAAATTTTGAGAATATTTCATTTTTCGCGACTTCAAAACTTCAAGAACATACAACATGAAGTGACGCTCCATATGTGTATAGAAGTCAATCTATTCATGTATTCATTTATTTGTGTGTGTGTGTGTGTTATATAACAACTTTGTTCATATTCATATATACAATCATATTTCATGTTGTATTGCTAAAACATTTCTCTTTTCTTCATATATATATATATATATATTTTTATTTATATAAATAAATAAATAAATTGGAAAAATGTATATAAATTGTTAATGATAATGAAACAACATTAGTTCTCCCATAATCGTACTATCTTCAATCTTTTTTTTTTTTAATCTTTTTTCATTTATTTTTAATCTGCATCGTCCACATACTTTCTGATGTTCAAAGTCATTTTGTGTTCACTTTGTTTGGTTGTAAAATTTATTTTTCGCTCATGTTTCAAATGAAAAAATGTTGTTGCGATGAAGTTTACGCCTAATTAATAAACTGAACATCTGTTATTTTTTTAATTTCATTTTATTTAGTTAATACCATTTCGTGAATTTATACACTAATTTATTTTATTTGTAAAACTTTCGAATATATCACAATGTGATGGGCGAAGAAAGACACATACAAGTTCATCTGTGTTATAGAAATGTTTTCATTAATTTATTTTTTTAATTAATTTCAATATATATTAATTTAAAATTTTTTATTTCTTTAATCATTTTTTCGTTCGTTCATTCATTCGTTCGTTCGTTCGTTCGTTCATTCGTTCGTTCGTTCATTCGTTCATTCGTTCATTCGTTCATTCATTCATTCATTTGTTCATTCACTAGAATTTGCAAGCATGCATCTAAATGTTTTGGTAATAATTTAACTCTCCATCTATCTAATTTGACGGTTCACCGACTGACTGATGACCTTCTTCATAGTTTGAAAATATGAGCATAGAGTGGTTGGATTGGATGTATAAACAGCATTCCAGTTCTGGTGCCTTATATGGTACTTAAACTTACTGAATGTTGCTTAGCTCACTCATTTCGGCTTCATCAAATTTTATTGTACATGTACAAATGTTATATTTTTTTATCATCAATTAATTTGTGAATACGTACTTTTAAACGTATATAAAACATAAACACGACACATATACCTGCTTCGTACGTATATACAGTATATACACATAACTACGTTTTGTTTGTACACACAGGGTACATACATTCACATACCAACGTTCATACATACATGCGTACATATATAATTATATACATACAACATATTCACATAAATACGTTCATACATACATGTGTACATATATAATTATATACATACAGCATATACACATAAATACGTTTATACATACATGCGTATATATATAATTATATACATACAAAATATTCACATGAATACGTTTATACATACATGCGTGCGTACATAGGCTTCCATTTGCAGACACATGTTCGCACGTTCAAAAGTTTCAGCGCGTACATTCTGATGTTTGACAGAAATTAGTTTTATATTTATTTAACTATATGGTGAAAATATTTATTTATTATATTATTATATTCATTTTATAAAATTTAAATTTTTTTGTATTGTTGTTAATACAGTTGTTTAAATAATGAAAATCCTTACATATTCTTGCTTTATTTTATTTATAGGTTTGCACGCATTCTTATTGTTCTCATTTGTAGGATTTCAATCTCAGCATGTTGTTCAAGAATTTCGCCAACATGTTCACTTGAAATAAGATGAATGAATGGCTAAAATGACATGTGACCCAATCATGTATTCCACCATTTTTTTTATCCATTTCGTTGTTTTAACTGTTCATTTTATTGTATGTTATCAAGAATTCGTATTTTTTCATCGTGGGAAGTGAGGTCACTGATGCGTAAAATTTTCGCTTAAGACATGACTCCGTAATTAACTTCTGTTATAAACTCATTTAATGTTAATTTTAATTACTTTCCGGTTGTAATTTTTCACCACTAAATTCTATAATTCTAAATTCTAAATTCTACTTTCCTATAAAATTATTTCTTTAATTTGGATTAGTTTTTATAAATCGGTAAGGTTTGAAAGTTACAAGGTTGATAATGCAGTAAGTGTATACAAATTGATCTTATGCTTTGTATTTGCACATATACGTGTGTGTGTTTGTTAGGATGAGTTGTTGTTTAGGAGTGAGGTAACTTGTGGCTGAACAAACCTTTTTTGGTATAATGTTGGTTTCTTATTTGCTAAACGCAAATCAATAGATAATTGAACTATATTTTTGTTTTTCATTATTTATAGTTTTTCTCGTTCATTGAATTACAGTATATTCCAAGTTCATTTGGATGTGACAATAATCCGTATTAACTATTTTTTCATATAAATATATCTTATTTATCACGAGTACGTGCAATTTTCATCGTTTGTTAGTTGGAGGTCAAGTTAATTAACTAATTATTCTCTCAAATATAATATGTTGTATGATTGATTTGTTGTTTTTAACAATTTTTCTATTCTTAAAATGCAGTTAGAATTCATTGAATTATATCTAAGATATAAAAGCGTCTAACCAACGTTCACTTATTCGTTGTTCCGAAGCTTCCAGGCACAACCAGCTCTCTCCAGACGCAATTTCTGGAGACCATTGAAATAAAGTTGAAACAACGACTAAGCCCGTGAAATCCAAGCACGTACCTAACAGCCATCTCTCTAATGTGATTGTTTATGATGAAAATGAGATACAGGCATTTCGTCCGAACTATCAATTTTAAGTAAAAAACGAATTTTGAATGAAAATTGGGATCGTACGGATTACTTGATTTTGGCGTGAAAATAAAAAAAGTGTTTGGATAGTTTATGTTAAAATTTTTTGTATTTAAAACGAATGTTTTAGGCTGAGAAATTTAAAAAATGCTTCTAATAACGTTTCAAAACTCCTTGTCATTTCAAGTTTTCTCTTAAGCAACATTGAAAATTTTTATAACAGATTACTAAATTTTTGACTGGAAAATTGCATTATGAATTTAAGTTGAATAAAAATTAAATTAAAAAATAAAATTCGACTGAGTGAATTGACAAAGTTGTGAAGTGTCGCACGCAACATTGTTTGACGTAACGATCGAACGATGGGTTGTTATTATTAAGTCTCCAATTCCATTATGACATTCTGTTGAACTGGCGTCATATGAACGTGGATTTATACACACAAACACGCACACACATACACTCGCACACGTGTGTGTGTGTGTGTGTGTGTGTGTGTGCATCATTACAAACTTGACAGATGAATTCAAATCTATTTTAGATGAATGATCTCGTTGTGAAGGGTGCAGTCTTTCGTAAAAATCAATCGAATGCAAAGAGACTTTGTAAAAAAGGTTTTTAGAAGTTAAACCATATTAGTAATTATTTTTAGCTTTAATTATTTAAAATCGGATAATCAATTATTTAAAGTAAATAATATGAAAATTTTTTGTAAAGATTCTAACCTCAACACTAACTAGATAAAATTTTCCATTGTAGGATTGCTCCCGCTTTGAAGTCTCCTTTTGATTTGTCTCTGTTTTGAAATTCATATTTTGTGGCAGTGAAATGATTTCTTGACAACACGTAGATTTATCTCCAAAGTGAATGTTGTGCCGCTTGCAAGTTCGTTCTTCTGCTCATATTCAATTCTATCGTTTCTGTCAGATGATCATTCTAATCCTCGTCGTCATCATCATCATTCTACTTTTATGCAAACTAACAATTAACTAATAAAACTAATATTTCTAATTTTAGTATACGAATTAATTAAATATGCAAAAAGTGTGTCAACTAATTGCTATGTACATAATGTTGATATTTTTATATAAAAATTTGGATGCCTGGTCTGGATTTGACTGAAAAAGTTTTTGATAAGAAAACACATTCATCAGCGTAGAAAGAAGCACTTTCATAAACTGAAAATACGATAAAAAAAACAAAACAAAAACACTCTTACACATATACATAAAAAAATGCATACACAGTAATAAGCATATATAAAAATACACTTACGCAAAAATACACTTACATAAAAAACCTCACCTCGGCGGAAAGTTCAAGAGAAACAATTAGAAAACTTGTCTTAGTTTAATGATTGATTGTAAGATGGGGCACTGCATCGTATGGTATTACGATGTTGTTGTGGTGGGTTATGTTATATGCTCCTCTTTACTCTCACGTGCACATTAATGCAGTCTGTATATCATGTTTTATTTTGTATAAAGATATGTGTTTGTGTGAATGTGTGTTTGTGTGTGTGTTATCAGTTGACTGACATTTTCAAAATTGTATATTGGTTGATTTTTGTCGGTTCCTACAAAATATTGTGACACCTGCGTTTTGTGAAATATGTAGATGCACGGAACCAAGTACACTCCGACATGCAGAAGCGGCCCACAGAGAAACAGAGCAGGAACGCTGCATCAAAAATATTCTCATCTCATTGATGGGCAATCGCAGAAATTTGCTGTGCCTTTTGGAAACTGAAATACCAAATAATGATCTAAAATGGAAGACATGAGCATTCGGACCAGCATTTAAGAGTTGCTCATCGCATTCTTACCGTTATAAATTTCCCTCAGTAAAACTTTTGGATAGATAATAAATAATGATAATGTTTAACCTACTAGAGCTTAAATTATAATGTAATGGCACCAAACATCCTAGTCAATGTTCGTGTTTGGACACTATAGTTCAAAACATTTACTAAAAACTCACTGTTCTGACGGCTGATAGTGCAATAAAAATACATATTACATTTTTTTTAT